TAATTATTGAGGAACACATTCGCGTATTTAATTTATAACAACAAATTCGAGCTGTTATGGGACTGACGAGAACCTGACGGTTTCTAATCAAAGTTAATCGAAATTTATTGTCGTAACTAAACCCACACGAGTTCATTTAATTCTTTCTTCTCTTTTTTTTGGTTTTGCTAATTTTTATTTTTGTGCTGGACTTAAGTGTAAATATTTGCACGATTCAAATAAGCTGAGCTGCTAAGAAAAAAGCTCGACAAACATTTGCTATTTGAGAGACGGGGCAACAGGGGAGTAGGGGATGGAAGATTGAAGAGGTGCCAGCTTCAAGCGATTCATTATAAATATGAACACATATACTACCAAAGCATATATATATATGTACAAGATAAACCATATATTTTGGCACTAAGATCTGACATTAAACAAAAAAACAAGAAAATTCTCGAGAAAAGGGAAAATAATATAGAAATGATTAAATGAAAAACAGGAAACTATTCAGTTGACTTACAAGACTGAGAAATAAATACTTGATATATGCTTGCACTATATAATTAAGTATAATTCTATTTGCCAATTTGTTTAATTGTTCAAGATCAGACTATACAATAATAAAGTTATAAATCATTTGTATACTTAAGATACGATCTCTACACACGTATTTTGAACAAATTTTCGCTAAAATTCTTGAACTTGATTTTGAGTAGCCATCAACATTTGTTTTTACACATAAAAACATAGGTATATATCTGTATATATATATATATATATATATATATATATACCTATACGAAGGCAACCTGCTGATCGTAAACATAAGGCATAGAAACAGAGAAGAATACTAGATATATTGAACTGAACATTTATATGCTTTTAGTTGTTATTTGAGCAAAAAGAATATATATGCTTATACATATTTGAACAGTTGCCAAACGAATTTTATGCAACAAAGAACGACGATTTCACCTTATGTATGAGATATATACGAATACAAAGATATATCTTTAGCTATATACATATTTAGATTTGTCGTCGTTTCCAAAAGAACTTTTGCTTTTGTTGCGCCGTAGCACATCAAATCAGATTCATAAACCAGCAAATTAAATTTATAATTACATAATGAAAAGATATACACAGCCTGACTGACATTCGCAATGTCAACTGGTGAAGGAACAGGAAGCAGAAGCATCCTTGCAGCAACAGGATGTGGCTTACATAAGCTGGCTGAATTTATCTAACAATCTCTGCGGTCGTTTTTCTTTTCAATTTCTGCTTTCATTTTCAATTGCCGTCGAGTGGCGCCCAGATTACGTAAATCCCTCCGCTGACAGCAGATGTGCGTAGTGAATTGAGCGAGTCGGAAAAGTACATATAATACCAAAATCACAAACAACAATAACACACACACACACACACACATATACAGTCACACAAACTTAACATTTTCGCAGAGGGTTGTTGTCGACCTTGAAATGCTGTTGACAACGTTGCTGTTATTGTTGCCTTCAGCTGGCGGGCAGTTTTAACATTTGGAAAGCACTAAAGCAGTGTACTTATATACAATATTCAGATTTATATGCGTACTCATTAGACTAACTGAAATTAGTCATTAAATTAATGATGCTTTCCATATATTTATATACTCCCTTTGGGGCAAAGTTTCCATTAAATCATTAAATGGATTACACAACTTTTTTATACGTGTGTAAAAATGCAAATGTGACATTTAAGATATTTATCTAAAGTGCATAAGGGCGGGATCTGATTACTTTATTGCCAAACACCTGACGATGAGTAACAGCAAACAAGGGCATGTACTTTCTATATATGTATGTGTTTATATACTGCAGATATATAGGAAATCGGTACACTTTTAGCTTTTTTGGAATCATTCCTAGCTTGCAGGATACATTTTGTTCGCATAAATTGTGCACAAATTGCTATTCCACTATTTATTCTCTGAGTGTAATATCCAGTTGGGTACTTGATAAAACCATTAAAATAAAACCCATCAAATATCGATAATAATTTGATGAAATGCTTTGCAGCTGTTCTGATAAGGCGAAATTGTGGCAAACAACTGTGTTTAAGTTCGCAAACATTGTATAAAACACATATTAAGTGCAGAAATGGAATACTAGAAATGCTTGCCATAAATTGAGACACATTTTCTGACAAAATTAATGCTATTAAAACACGCGCTGAATATGATATGCAAAATATAAATTTGGTTTCAGATTTCAGTAGATTTTGAGTGCGCTTATCACGCTTAAAAGTTCAGCTGGGTTTTTTTTTGTGGGCGTGTCACTGTCTCTGTCTGTCTCTCTGGGAGATACTGGTGAACTTGAAATATGAAAATTGCCAAAGATTGGCATCTGTTTTGTGGCTGGAGTGCGTAATGCACGGTTAGTCATTAATTGAATGAAAAATACGACAGCAATTTGTACTGGTCAAACAATTTCAGTTTGGCAAAATGGAAGTGGGGAAGTGAATTGGAATTTGAAATTAGTTAATTATTTGAGCAATGTGTTATTAATTTGTACAATTTGCGGCCAGTCAAGCACAAGTTCAGTTAACAATACGCGCCGTTCTCCCCAGTCAATTAGCCATGATATCGCACTGCAACAGATATGTGTATATATACATATATATATATGATGGATAGTTAGATATATACCTATGAACAGATACCTATGTACACGGATACACGCTGCTAAAAGCTCTGTTGTCCAATTTTATTTGTTTGCTAAACAATATTTTGGCAGCACATCAAAAGCGTCGCTTGCCAAAAGCAATTTGCATACGCGTGAGCCAAAAATCAGAGATCTATGCAGATGTATATAGATATATATATGTGTGTGTGTATATAGGGATATATAGAAACGTTAAACGAAGAAACAACCACTGGGTGACATCTGCAACATTCAACATGACGGACACTGTCCATCAGCCACGAGGCGTGATTATGAAAGACAAAGTGAACTGAAACAATTAGAGATGAGGCGTGACGCCAAACGTACTAAAAGTATATAGAAATATAAATATATATATGTATATACATATGTACAGCAATATAATACATGGGATCATTTTTGTAACTATATTTAAATAAAAGACAGCGAGCTGCGCAGGAGGCTGCTGCTGTTTGCTGCAGCAAACGTTGCACAGCCAATTTACCGCACACAAACAATAAGTAAAACTCGCAAGAAAAGCTGCAGCCAGTTGAAGCACAACGAACTTGATATACACTTGCCAAATATGGATGCCAACTGATGATTAATTAAAGAAATTGATATATTTAAACATATTCCAAGTTTCAACAAGATAGTTGCCACTTTGAGTTAGTTTGCATAGTAAGAAACTTAGTCAGGTATACTTAGGCAAGAAGATAGATGGATAGGTATAAATAGGCTGGAAGATAGATACTTTTAAATATATTTATGCTCTGCCTGCAGCTAAACGACGAATATATTCCATGTTCGCATTGTGGAAAAGTAAGATAGTTACGCATATACATTTATATATATCACTGGTATAACTACAGCTGAGAGATGAATGTATTCCAAGTTTCATCAAGATAGCTTTCAAATCGAGTTAGTTCGCATTGTCATCAAAATCAGGGGTTTCGAGAACTAAAATGCACATTGCAAGTGTATAATTAATTAAAGAAAAGAAATCAAAATGAATCCAAGTAAATTTTGAATGCACCCTGGCGACAGACGTTTGTCGTTTTGTGCGTTGCGCGTTTCCAAACGTGGCACGTTTATAAATATAAACTTGGCATGGGGGAGATCATGTGACCCGGACGACTACGGCCAGGCGACACTACACTACTACAACTACAGCTACACTACTCTACAAGCGCCACGTAGCCAAACTTATTTGTGCTGTGCACTTATATAGTTGAACGTGTGCGTGGTGGCTCCACCAACTGAAAAAAGATGCCTATGACTTTGTTTGGGCCTTGGTCCTTGATCCTTGGCCCAACACACCTGGCCGGCAAACACAAGGCTCGCGTGTGAGTCTCTATAAATATTAATAGAAAATCAATTGCATTTGCTAATTGCGAGTGGAACTTTTTTTGGGAGGAGCCGAACTAATGCCAAGCAAACCTGAGATGAGGCCCTATAAATTCCCCATAAAAAGCACAAATAAAAATAAAAGTTATCGTCGCCGTCGAAGCTTTAATACCCTCGTTAAGATAGCTACACAGTTCTGAGATTTGTGTTGCAAGGAATAAGACCCTCTCAACTCTTTCCTAATCTTTATTACAGCAGTTGAGAGAGCGAGGGAGAACCAATTAGGGCAATTTTTATTTAAGTGTATATGTTTGCTAGAAGCTGCCTCCCCCTGCCTGGTTGGTTTTTCTTCTGATTGTATAAATATACTAGAGTCTGCTTGTCTCTGCTTCTGCCTAACGCACACATTTCCTTAAATCCCATTGTACCCCTGTTATCTATATTTAAATTACAGGGTATATAACGTACAACAAAGAAGCAACGTAGACAAACTTGCAACCGCAGTGCTGTGCAGCCGACAGTTGCCAGTTGCCAAGAGAGCTGTCCGCCCAAGCACAGAACATGAAACTAAAATAAACAGCGTCATCGTCACCAACATCATCAGCCTCATACCACCAAACCCCATCCGCAACCCCATCAGCATTCCCATTCCCATCAACAGCATCATCATCACGGTGCATTATTACATATATATATATATATATATAAGTGTATATATATACATTTTTGCTGCCACAGCAGCGTTGTTGCCTCTTGCGGCTGTTGTCGCCACATGGCAACTATTTTAGCGACAAGAAGTCAGGCGAGTTCGTTGAACTTGCCACGCGGCGAAGGAGACAAACTCAACTTGTCTGCGCTGCCATGCGGAAGTCACAAAACTAATTGAAATAACTTAAAAAAAACACTTGGGAAAAACAAAAATCAAAAAACCAAATGAAATCAAATCAAGTGTGGGTGTTTAAGTGGGAATATCTTGTGCTTCCTTCTTACCGTGTGCCCGCCTGCTGTGCTTCCTTGATGGACTGCACAAAGGCATTCGCCTCGCCTTTGATGAAGCTCTGGCTGGCATCCTTATCGATTTTAGGCAACTTGCTGGCCGGCAGCTGGGCATCGAAGAGCTTCTTGTCCAGGTCATCGTGAATGACGCCGTTGCCATTGGTTGCGTTGCCATTGGTATTGGCCTCGGTCAGCGATTTGGGCAATGGGATTGGCATCTTGTCGCCTGCGCTTGCAACTGCCGCTTTCGGTGGAGTTGCAGGAGGTGTAGCTGCAGGAGGTGTAGCTGCAGGAAGTGTAGCTGCAGGAAGTGTAGCTGCAGGAGGTGTAGCTGCAGGTGTAGCTGCTGGAGTAGGTGTTGCTGGCTTGGGTGCAACAACAGCGGGAGCTGTAGCTGGAACTGCTGGCTTGGCTGGCGCTGGAGTGGCAGGCTTGGGCGGAGTTGCTGGAGCAACTGCTGCTGCTGCTGGCGCTGGCTTCGGCGGTGGCGAGGGCTCCGGCGTGCTGGGCTTAGCAACCGGCTTGGATGCAGGAGCAGGAGCAGGAGCAGGTTTGGGTGCAACTACAGGTGTGGGTGCAACAGCAGGTGCAGGTGCAGGAGTCGCCTTTGGTTCCGGTTTGTTTTCTATCGCTTTGTTCGCTGGCTTATTGGAACTAAAAAGCCAAACCAATCGTTTTCTACAAAAACAAAAAGAAACCAAACAAAAGCAAAATGAAAATGATAAATAAAATCGAAATAAAATTAAAAACAAATTGAAACAAAAGAATTTCCAAGAAAATGTCATCGAGAATAAAGAGATAAAAAAGCAATCGGCGCATTTTTTCTTCTTCTTCTTCGCACTTGCAAAGTATTTGCGAGAACTTTCTGTTCTTTCGCCGCTGCGAAACTCAACTTTTTTATTGACTTTCAACTCACCCACAATTATTTATTACAGCTATAAACAATAAGTCTGTTAATAAATGATTTAAAATCGTTCAAATTGACTTTTTCACTGAGCTACTCGAAATCCGCAAACTGAGCTTGGCAAAGAACGCAATAGAAAGGGAGAAATGCAGTAAGAAAAGAGTGTGACCCCATTAAAACTGAGTGTAAGAAGAGGGAGAGGGCGGCGCCAAGCAGTGTGACGCTATCGTTTACAATGTAATAAGTAGTCATAAATAAAATATGCTTATCTTTTATAAACTATATATGAGTAAAAATATTTACAGCTGTTATATTTCCACTACAGGATTATCGTCTAATCCCATTAAATTATTATAGCAAATTTTGAGTACGAGTCACAGGTGTTGCCAAAACTTAGAAGTGTTGCTAAACACCAGTATTGTTACGATTAGAATGGTCACACAGCTAGGGATATATGTTAAGATACTGGGAAATAAATTTAAATGTTGGAAATTCAAAGGCCAAAACGGTTTGAGTTCTAAATTAGTTTTTCACATGATAATCGATTAGGTATTGACTGTAACTGATACAATATCAGTCTTGATTATATTTTACTAAGACCATAAATAATGCATTAGAAGGAAATGAATTAGCAGTTCACAGATTGCTGAAATTACAGCAGCACGTGAATTTATCTACAATGCGAAGGCAAATCTCCAAATTACCCAGCTACTCTCTCGCTTCTCCCGCCCTGGTGTCTGGCTCAAAGCGAATGCTTTTCTACTGTCACGTAGGCCAGAAATGATAGCAGATAGCAGAAAAAACAACTCGTGTATTGTGGCAAACAGATAAGCAAACAAAATACAGTCGCTAAGTACCCAAAGTATTACGCATACGCCTCGGAAACTGCTCCCCACCAACCGGTAAATGACTCTCGGATGCGAACGTTTCAAACTTCAATTATCACATTATGCTTTCGCTAATTAAGCAATACGTAAAGAGCTTAAAAGAAAAAACAGCAACAACAACAAACCAAAATACCAAAAATATCGCTTATGGCTTTTCATCATTTTTGGCACTGTTTTTTGCAAAATGTGACGAGCTGTTCAATGTGTGTGCGTGTGTATGTGTATGTTTCCGTTGCTAATTGCACTTATCATTGTTATACAAGTTCAAGCCGGTTGTCTCAGATTATGCCTGTTAGCTGAGTTCTTGTTGCTGGCGGCAGAAACGGCCAAAAATATTATCATGTGACAATGATTAAATGGCGCTAAATGCACGAAATACACTTATAGTTTATATATTTAGCACAATGCTTAGTTAGATAAGATTGGACACTTGCAGTTTGGCTTAAATGTGGGCCTATTTCCGTTAACGGTAACGCTTTATAAATTCTTAAGCAGCCGTTAAATGTATTTAATGCCCAACACGCAATCACGCGATTAATTTAACAATAACTGTGATGCCTCAATGGCGTCACGTTTATTTCAAGTTAAAATTGAGTTAATAAATTTACAAATTAAGTTCCTATCTGAATTCATTTTCAAGCAAAACATATTTCACGGATCGCCTAAAAGTATGCAACAGAAAGCGTTGAGGTTTCGAGCGCTGCGAGCAATGACCCTCAAACTGTCGAGAACTTACCGTATTTCGTCGACGGCAAATGTCAGATACCACAATGCAAACATCTTTGTAGTTGTTGTTGTTTTCGCTGTAAATAGTGGGAAAACATAAACAGGTTATTTACAGCATTTTTGATTCATCTAATTAAACAATCGTAACGAAAGCAACAAATGCATAAACGGTGCAGAATGTGAATGTGAATGTCAATAGCAATGCGGCGCTTAGCTTATGTAATGCTAAATAATGCAATGACAACAACAACACAAACAATGAGCAGCTCCGAAACAAAAGAAAAACAAATGAAAAATGACAACACTCAAAGACACAAACAGTTTGTTGAGTTCAATTTGTGCCGGCATTTTTTGTGCGCACAAATTTTATTTATAAACAATCGCGAAAACTGATTGCCAACTGCGTGTGTATGGGTGTGTGTGTGTGTGTGTGTGTAAATGATTCGATTGCCAATTCAGTGACCAAAAGTGCATATACACACAAAGAAACCGGGGAGACGCACGTGAGTGTGGCGACTTTTTGGGCAAATTGCCAAAGATTTGAATTGATTTCGAAAGCTGCTGCTTTATTTGAGGCACTGTCTTTGAACGCGCCTGTCGAACAGCTCAAAGAACATTCAATTCAATTTCCAATTTATGCAAGATGTGTGTGAAGGAATGCGGGGGCGGGTGGAGGGGAAGCTGGCTGCTGTTTATTTTTCTTGGCAGCCGCAAGATGCGGCGTATGAGCAATATTCAAACGCACAGTCACCAGACACACACACACACACACTAACACACACACACAGTGACAGTTACGTCACGCAAAATGACAGCGAGATGGAGCCAGAGAGAGAGAGAGAGAGCGAGAAAGAGAGAGTGAGATGGAGAGAGAGCGCGCACTTTAAAGCTCATAAATGTGCTGACAGACGTTGGCTGCATGTTCATGTTGCATGCAACAAATATACTGCTGCTGCTGCTGGTACTTGCAACTTGCCACTTGCCACTTTTGGGTCCACTCACCTTTTGTGCTAGTTAGTTAGAGCGAAAGGTAGCTACAAAAAAATAACGCTGTTGGCGGCGGGCTTTTTAAGTTTTATCGAAAGGGATGCTCGTAAATCGTATATAAAAAAATATTGGTTGCGTTTTTAAATGCTAATTGTTGTTCTTAGTATATTGAAGCAGCCGCTAACAAATATATTTATCTAACTTTTCGCACTTTTATTCTATAAATCACACACGTTGAGAAATTCACTAGGTATTTTTGTTATTCTATAATTATTATGATTATTATTATTTTATTTTTTTTTGTGTGGCTGCGCTTCTTGTGTTGCCCAGTTTGCTGTTGATTGCTGCTTACAATTTTTCGACTGTGCTAAAATCGACTACTCAAGCACCGAAAGCCCCTATACAAACTGGCAGAGAGAGAGAGAGCGACAGAGAGAGAGAGAGAGATAGAGAGAGCCAAACATTGGTCAGCGCCGACGCCGACGCTCTCTCTCTCCCTCTCTCTCTCTCCTAGCTGCTGCTGCTGCTGCAGTGAAGCTTTTTGCCTGCGTTTTTCATATACCCTTTAAAAATACTCTTTTTCTGCTGTGATATCACAGATTATTACTCATGCGACGCTTACGTTATGCCTTAAATATGAATATATATATACAATACACATATCAATCATGACTAGTCTGCTAAATGCAGCCAAAAGACGACTAAAGACGGTCGAATCAATAAACAAAAACCTAAAAATATTCGAGAGCTTTACGCTTGCAGTTTGAGTAGCATTGCGTGCATGCTATATGCTATATGTCAGTGGCACTCAAACTGTACGCTATTTGCACGTACTCTGAATTCTTAGAACTGCCACGGCGAAAAATGGTACAGTGTTGACTTGATAGCTGCTTTCATTGTTACATAGAAATTATACTATTTCAAATTCATACCTTATTTTTGTAATTAAAATAGATTTATTTAAAAATTCCTGGGGCTGACTTTTCCACGCCGTTCTCTTATGCGAGTGACTACTGTTGTACTGTTGCTATTATATCACGTTTCAGTTCCGTGAATGCGGCCATCAACTCGTCTGTTCGTCCGTCCGTTTCTTTGTTTGGGCCAAACGAATGTCAGCAATTTCTAGATAAGTTTCGCCCCGCAATTTCACCGTTATCTGGGCCCACTAGCCTAATGCCTTATCGTCTTATCGTTCGCTAAGCGTTTACAGTTGCACAAGCATTGGAACGCAGCTGCAATGCATTTTTAGTGCTCAGTGGCATGTTGCATAACTGGCTTATATAAGCACAGCTCCCGAGCGAGCCAGCCAAAACAAGGTCAAAAGTTCAAGGACTTTTCAGCTGAAAGGCAAAAGCTTTCCGATTATCCTGCGTCTGCGCATGGCAAAGCAATAAGCGGAAGTATTTATCTCTGCTGGGTGCGACTTTTGTTGATGTTTTGATTGTGTAACAGCTGCTGTTGCTGCTGCTGGCGCCCTGAAGTATGCCACAATCAAATACATGTATCGAAATGTGCGTCTCAGCATTCAAGTGTGTGTGGGTGGGTGGGTTGAGTGGGCGGGCGGGCAGATGTGCAGTTAAGTCTCATATTTATTATGTTGGCCTGCTCGTAACTTTTTGCCAATCCCAAGCGGGCTATTCCAGCTATTATCTACTTTGTTTACTGTTTTCATTACATATTTACATATGCAGGTGGGTGTGTGCTTGTGTGTGTGTGTGTGTGTGCGTGCACCATGGGGAATACTGTATTTATCCTTAATCGGTTTTTATAGCGTGCTGCTCGTAAGCAGCTCTTTCAATTGGTTTGCAAAGGGTTTCTTGATTATGCGGCGTCATGTGTTGCCACACAATGTGTTGCCACAATAAAGGAACTTATCTTTTGTGTGTCTGACTGCAAATGTTGTAGTCAGCGGAAGGTGACCTTCTCATCATCATCTACGATCAGATTAAGCATAACAATAAATATGCCTCTTAAAGCAGCTTAAGTTAAGCATTTCGACTGATTCTGTGGCACTTTTTGAAGTGTTTTTGTATTCAATGAATTAATAAATGCTGCATTAATTTTTAAACATTTTTTTTTATTGATTTTTATTGTTTTTTGTTTTGTTGTTTTTTAAATTTAATACATTTCCATTGCTACTGTCAAATTTTGTTTTGTTTTTTATGTGGTATATATTGAATTTGTTGTAACTTGCTTTGCTTAAACTTATGATATTGCATATGCCACAAAATTGCTGTTGTTGTTTTCATTTCTGTTTTGGCTTTAAATTGAAGCGGACAAATTGTTGCACAACTGATAAAAGCTAGCAAATATAAAAAGCAAATTCTTTTTAGTTGTGGAAATTGAAATAATTGCCATGCCCATCAGCATTGATAAATTGTTTGTTTCGCTTTTGTTTTTTAGTTTGTTTGTTTGTTTATAATGTGCACATTTCATTCTGGTTGTTGTTGTTGTTGCTTAAACACTTCATTTCTTTTTGTTGTTGCTTGTTGTTGTTGCTTGTGCCTCTCTTAAACTTTGTTTGTCTTCCTAAGTTCTTCTGCTAAGCTAACTACTACGCATTATTCATATATATATATTCATAGATCCCGTTCGAAGTTCTGCTTCTTCTTCTTCGCTATCTTCTGCTTGTGATCCGCTTTCTACACTTGTTCTTAAACGTTTTTACTTTCGATTTTGTTTGCAAAAGTTGGTTTTTTGTTTTTGTTTTTTGTTGTTAACCTTTGGTTGGTCGCATATGTTTCGCATTGGCTTTTGTCTACTTTTAAATTCTTCTTCCCCTCTCCTCTTTTGTTGTTGTTGTTCTTGTTGTTGTGTGTGTGTGTGTGTTGTTTGCCTTTTTTGTTGGATTTTTGTTTGTTATCACAGCTTTCTTCTATACACTCTCTGCTCTTATGTTATCTTTAAGCATAACTTGCATATACATAATACATATATATTTGTTCTTGTTCTTGTTCTTAATGCACGGCTGTTTTCATTGTTGTTGTTGTTATTATTATTGTTGTTGTTTTTAACTCTATTCTAACATGCCTTCCTCTTCCTCTTCCATCTTGTTGTTGTTGTTTTAATACATACGTTAGCTTATTTTGCATATGTGTGTGTGTGTGTTGCGTGTGTGTGGAATGATTTACAAAAGTTGTTTTACTTGTGGTTTGTTGTTGTTGTTTTCTTTTCGAAAAATTTAAATACAATAAATGGCATATAAAATATATACATATATAGTATATTTTTTGTTTTGTTTTTGTTTTGATTTCGTTTTTCTATACAAAAAGAACGTTACTCAGACGCAGCGTTGGAAGTGTTTTTGCAGTTTGTTGAAACTTTGTTTGTGAATTATATTGTAATACTTGATGTGGATTGTTAAACAATAAACCAATTGCTTATCGACGAGTCTGAACAAATTGGAGATACAATTTTCTCGATTGCCTAAGTATAGCATACATATACATATATATATAAAAAAAGAACTCTTTTTAGGGTCTCATTGCTGTTATTCTCATCATGTGTTTTCCACTTTGGCTCTTTCTCTTCTCTTCTCCTCTCTTTCTTTCTGTCTGTTGTTGTTGGAAGCAGCATGACACGTTTATCACATTTGTTGTTGCTGTTGTTGTTGTTGTTGGTATGTACTAGGCTTAATTAAATTACATTGTTGTTGTTTGTTGTTTAACTTTAACACATACACATAAACTATGTACATACATACATTGACGATTGCTTCTTATTACACATGATTTGCACTCTTTTTTTTTTTTTTTTACAAATTAATATTCGCTATTGAAGTTTATAACAAAAATACATGAATAGTTTTAAGTTTTTTTTTTAGTTTAGTTTAGTTAAGATATATATTTATAACACACATGCTTGGATAGTGTATAGAGTTGTCTTTGAGATCGCATTTGCTGTTTTTTGTTGTTGTTGTAAGGACAACTGCCCCTCGGGTTACAGCATTGAGCTTTGCAACATTCTTGTTTCAGTCTTTAGTTTTTTGTTTTTAATAGATTTGTTTTTTTTGTTTTTTTTTTTTTTTAAGTTAGATAGCATAATTTGAGCAAAGTTCTTTTGTGAGTTGTTCGCTAAATGCTCAAAATTGATCTTCAGGTACCATTTTTTTCATTTTTAATATTTTTTTTTGCTTAGCTTCTTGGTTTTGCTGTGCTTGTGCTCGAGGGGCAACGTTATCCTGTTGTCCGTTTAGTATCCTAACTGCACTGCTGCTTTTGGTTTTTTGTTTTGTTTTGTTGTTTGTGCACAAACATAAGTAAACTATAGTATAGATGATATATTGTATAAATGAATGCCTGCTGTTGCTACAAAATACTCAAGTGGTTGTTCGATTGATTGATTGAATCGGATTGATTTGGATTTAAATTCTGGGCTAACGCATGTCTCATTGTTTAATGTTTATCAAGATCACAACACACGCCCGATTTTACTGGACTGTCACAAATTACATTTACATATTCATATATATATAGAAATATATATATATATATATGGAGAGAGACAGACGTGTGTTGTTTACAATATGCTTTTGTTTTTGTTTTTAGTTGCTTTACATAAGCTGCTAATATCACTTTGAAAACTACACAAATGGCGGCGCTTGTTGTTATTTGTTTGTTTGCTGTTGTTGTTACATTTGTTGTGTGTTTGTTGTATTATCACAATTGAGCGCCAATCTTCACATTACATATTCTCACATTACTACAAAAGTTAACAATTTTTGTTTGTTTCTGTTTGTCTCTCTGCCAATCGATTGAGCTAACAATTTTTAAGACATTGGTCATTTTTTTTTGTTTTTTGGTTTACAAACATTTTCAACACTTTTCTTTATACATGTTTTTTGTTTTTGTTTTTTTTTTTAATATTTTTACTTAGCTAACTAGACAATTTGCTTAACAATTGGTTGTTGTTGTTGTCGCTGCTGCTGCTGCTGCTGTAACTGGCTTCACTTTCGCTTGCTTGCATTTTGTTTTAAATCACAGTTGTTGTTTCCTATATAATGATGTTTTAACTTCCGCTTCCTCACTTACATATTTTGTTGTCGCTGATTGTTGTTCTACTTGTTCTTTGACAATAAACTGCTCGTTTTCATATTTATCTTTTTGCATTTGAAGTGCTCAAGTCTTTTTGTTTTTCTTCTTGTGGTTGCTCTTACATTCTTTGCTGTGTGGCCGAACAAAATGTAAAAAATTTTAGTTTACTTAGTTTAAACATACGAAAGAAATTGTAAGTTGTATAAAGGCTTGCCAATTATATAAGAGTTTCTTGTTTTGTTTTTGTTTTTCGTTTGTAACCATATATATCAAAATGTTTTTATAGCTTAACAGAAAAGTCAATTGATCGCTTTTCGCTTTAGGGATTTTCTTTGCTTTTTGATTTTTGTTTTGTTTTTTGTGGTTTTTTAGTTGCCTACGTAAATGTTTACTAAACGCTACAAATTTCTATGCGCTCGATTTGATCACGTGTCATGTTGTTTTGTTGTTATGTTTGTTAATGTTTTTGTGTGTTCTGTTCTGTTGTTGCTTTTCTTTTGTTTTGGCTGCTTTTTGTGTGCTTTTTTTTAATGGCTCAAATCCTGGCGCAGCAACTCATAAACGAACTTATCACGCACATCGTAGTCCACAGGACCATAACCTTCGCTCGGCAGCTGCTCGGGCTCAATCAGCGACCAGTGCTGACCCAACAGCGTGCACATTTCCTGCAAGCAACGAGGTAGTCGAGGATGACTTATGCAACAAACAGATAAATCTCTCAAAATACTCACCTCATTGAAGAGGGATTTCGGAACGCTGTTGAGATGCCAATCGATTTGGGAGACTTCGAAACGACGCAGCTGTCGACCGCGTAGCCGTGCAATGCCCAGAAGTAAATGCGGATCCATGTTGTAGCCATGGACAACGAACTCTTCGAGCTGCTTACAGCGCCAGGACAACATGACAAAGGGATCCTGGCGACGCGTATGCCGCATATAGTCCATGCGATTGGAATGCTTGCTCACCGAATCAATGTAGTAGATGCTGCGCAACGTGTCGCTATTGTGCACGGACATCCAGTCGATGGCCTCATGGTTCATGAACTCACAGAACAGCATGCGTATGTGCGTGATGGGCATATGGCGACGCAGGATGCGCAACTGGAGCAATTCAACGGCCTCATAGGCATAGACGAGCGTCAACACCAGTTTGATGCCCGTGAAATGCGTTGCAAAGTTGGCCCAGGCTGCCTCAGAGACACCGGCATGCTCTTCCCGGTCCAGACCGTGGACTACAATGAGCAGTTTGCGCAACGGCAGCACCTGTATGGTGTGCAACAGCTCATCGTTGAGCGTATCATAGTCCAGGGAGAGCACCTGCAATGCTGCGCATTTCTGGAGCAGCGTTGTGTCCAGCCCGAGGATAGGATAGTGACTAGGATCGTATTTAATGCTGGCCAGCGTTAGCTGCAACAGCTCCTGCGGTTTGCCCATTGCCTTGAGAAAGTCCTGGCCATAGTAGGTAAGCGCTTCGATGGCACCCAGATCCAATACCTGACACGCTTGGCTCTTGCGATTTAAAATCATCTTCAGCGGTTCCACAAAGCATCTGTTGTTGAAAATTGAAATCTCTCGTTTAATAAGGGATCAAATATTAATTCATATTTATCCTACTGTTCTATGGCGATTAGATGTTCGCTGTGCATATTTCCAGCGGCGACAAGACCCACGTTGTTGGTTTGGAAACGCAAGGATCGAATGTTATCACAGCGTGCCACTCTAAGGAATGGTAAACAGATTAGAAATATATTACATATATAATATGCAAATTTTGAGCACTTACTTGTACAGTAGCCGTCGCATCTTTTGAATGTGAAAGGCATTGTGAAAATCGAAGACGATGACCAGCTCCTTGGCCAGATTGGCCATGGTACGATGGAAGAACGACAGTTTCGCATCCTGTGCCACGTCAATGTGAAAGCGAAAGTTCCTAAAGTAGCTGTTGCCGTGGCGAAAGTAAACAAAATGGTCAGAGAGACACAGAGCTATTAACAAACAAAAGAAAAAACTGTTTCAACGCGCTCAACGTAATCTACAGTGGGCTAGAAAAGTTTGCAGGCACAGGCAGAATGTTTGCAGTTCGCAATATTATAAAATTAAAACAAATTAATCACAATCACAGTAGTTTTATACCATAGCACTGAGAATTATTTTCAATTTGCAGCACATAAATTTTGCACTTGTTAAAATCAGTGCGATAACTTTTCTCGCTCGCTGTAACAGCGACATTAACATCAGCTGTGTGTTTGGCCATCTGTGTGTGTCTAAGCGATTATGTTTGTGTTGGTATAGCAACATTTTCGTTTTGTGTTTCTGTGTGTGTGTGTGTGTGTGAGTGGCTGTGCTTTGTTTATTATTACACGTATTAATAAATGCTTTGTTGTGTCTTTCAAGGCCTGCCAAAAAAAGAAAACAGAAAACTCGCCCCTCTTTTAGCTCAACCCGCTGCTTGGCCAGATGAGGAACAGCTGTGCGTCACCCATGGCAGCAGTAGCAGCAGCATCACTTTTGTTTGTTTGAGACGCAAAAGCGAAAATCGCCCCAAACACATCAATTGCATACAAATTTATATACGTGCCTTATATACACAAACACATATATGCATGTGTGTGCATATAAATATGTATGTGTACATGGGGAATTCTTGTGGACTCACCGTCTTTGAAAAAAAGGTTGCCTCCATGCCCAACAACAATTGGCTGCTGCGCTGCGATCTCGCGATTCGAGATAGTCGTATATTTGATTTAGTGCCACCGCTGGTATTGTATGCCATTGGGGTATATTCATAACTATAACTATTTAAATCCCAAATAAATCCGTTTCTTTACTTTATTGAACTTGTGAATTTGACTTTTTTTTGTGCGACCGAACAGTGCGACGCAACATCGACCAATTAAGATACAGCACTGTTAACAACTGCTACTCGCTTACAGGCGCAGCGAGTGTTAACTAACATTCTGCTGGTATTTTTTTTCGGTATTTCATACGTAATGCGTTTGCGGTCACACTGATCGCAGTGTGGTAATCGTCTGCTTGATGTTTTTAAATAATGTCACTGCTCCTGGTCGCCGTCAGGCGGCAACAGCTGTTTACAGTTTGTCGGTTAGGATATTTGCGAGCAGCGCCAGCAAATTTTAGCGGGCATGAGCGACGCCAGGCCTCAACAGAAGCTGCGGCAGCAGCAGCAACCACTCAGCTGGCCAATGCCAGCGGCATGATTGGCTTCTGGCAGACGCTCTCGAATAGCACTCCTGTGGCCTACATGCAGGACGCACTAACGCAAATACACGACTATAGTGGGCTGCCCTGGTGGGCAGCGATAGTGTTGTCAACGTTCCTGTTTCGCAGCGTTGTCACCCTGCCATTGACCATTTACCAGCACAAGATTACGGCACGCATTGAGCAGATAGCACTGGAAATGCCGGCCATAGTGGAGGAACTGAAAAGAGAGGCGGCCATGGCCAAGCACAAGTTCAAATGGAGCGACAAGCAAACACAAATTGTTTACAGCCGTTCAGTTAGTATCAACTTCTCTTTAGTAAAAACCCAATTTTATCATATATTCCCTTGCAGATCAAGAAACAGTGGCAAAATCTGATTGTGCGTGATAACTGTCATCCTATGAAGACTCTCATTGTGCTATGGGGTCAAATACCTTTGTGGATATTCCAGTCGGTTGCCTTGCGCAATCTGGTCTATATGCTGCCGGATCCAACGACACTCAAAGCACAAATCATTGCCACCGAGCTGACAATAGGAGGCTTTGGTTGGATACCAAATCTTAGTGTAGTGGATAGTTCCTATATTCTGCCTGTGACACTGGGTCTCATCAATCTGGCCATCATCGAGGTGCAGGCTATGACACGCACGCGTCCTCCAACGCGTCTTCAGAACATTTTCAATAATGTCTTTCGAGGATTGAGTGTGGTGATGGTGCCTATTGCCTGCACAGTGCCCTCGGCGCTGTGCGTATATTGGGTGGCCTCCAGCAGCTTTGGCCTGGCGCAAAATCTGCTATTGCTCTCGCCGGAAATGCGTCGTGCAGTGGGTATACCTAAAACCAAAACGGAACTGGAGGCGCCTTATGATCAGCTTTGGCTTAAGATACAAAAGCGTTCGAAATTATTGGATGAATCTTCTGCGGATAAGTCGGATAGCAAGTGACACTTTTATATGAGCACAGTGAGTGCTTGGAAATGAAAATGATTCAGTTTTACAGTTTCACAATTATAAGTTACATTTGTGTGTAATTTATTTTAAATTTCCTTATTTCTATTTTTAAAAATTACTACAAACTATGGTCAAATTATTCTTAAAAGTAAAATGTAAATATTTAATTCACCTGGCTTAAAGTTTAAAAGTTTTGAATGAATGTAATACCACAAAAGTTCTAATTACACAAGCCACTGCATATGCAGCTAGTCCAATATTTGTTAATTAGAATGTTTAACTGTCATGTTTGTAAATATATATTTAGTACACAAATCCACACGACTGCTCCTATTGTAAATCATCATGAAGACTCATCTTACATATGAATAAAATGTATGTGGAAAACCCCACACTACAAATTTAGTGTCAATAAGTGGGACTAAAACAAAATGATAAGCGACCAGCGAGAAAGAGAGAGAAAAGGTCTTGGAGATTGCCACGAGCGATAAGGCGACATTCAATTGGCGCTACGCTGCAACATGATCCAAGCGACTATCTGTCGCTACTGCGACAACAGCCCAATTGAGATTCGAGAAGCTGCCTCAGTCGAGGCCTGAAGCTCAGTGAAAGAACAGCTTGAATTAGAATCCGCGCGCGTTTCCCCATCGAATTACTTTCGTGCAAACGCTATCAGTTTTGAGTGAAAATTATTAATAATAATAATATATATATATATACATAGAAAGTGTATATAGAGTCAATGATATATAGGGTTTTATGCCTTGGACTGGCACTCCTTTTTGTGCTGGTCGTGAGTATTTCAATTGATATCAATTTACTTAGACTGACACACAATTCCTGATAAACAGGAAGTGTGCTCTATTGATCTGGTCAATCTATAATTTACACAATTTTCGTAATTGCGACTTTGATAGGGGGCTGCTTATCAGCCTGGCGGTCACCATGATGGACAGTCCGGGTTATCAGCAGCGCATTCTACGTATGCTGAAGAGCAGCCGATCTACGAACGGGATTCGGGCTGCCCGGCACAATTTCGAGGACTAATGCCGTATCCTTATGACTGCCATCGGTTTATTAACTGCGCCGAGGGACGACCTGCTATCCAAACCTGTGAATCGGGCACAGCTTTCAATTCCGAGAAGCGCACCTGTGACCAACAGTCCAAGGTGTCCTGTGAGGGTCCAGTCAGTCGCTCTGCCCGTCTGCAGCAGCGGAGTGGGGAGCCCAAGTGCTCGCCTGGCAAGAGTGGTTTAGAGGTGCATCCCTACGATTGCACCAAGTTCCTTAATTGCGCCAACGGTCGGACTTTTGTGCAGAGTTGTGGACCCGGCACCGCCTTCAGTCCATCCCTCATGACTTGTGACTACAAGGACAAAGTGGATTGCGGCGATGGTCGCTTTAGCGCAGGCGGAGCAGCTCACGGTAAGTAGCAATCATTTATATACACGAAATATCCTTAACTAACACACACCCAGAAGGATCGCAAGGCTCTACGGATGGCCTTCATTGCCCAGCGGGCGCACGCGGTAATTTTCCGTATGCCAATGATCCCATTAAGTATATCGTATGTGGGATTGGCGTGAAGCCACGCTTGGAGCAATGTGATCCGGGTGAGATATTCGATATCCACAAATTGACCTGCATTTTCGTTGGCTCCTCCTCTGCCCAAACCCATGTCTCCTGTAAGTTGAACTGTAATCCGCCTTCGATTTGCTTTGCTTGTTCCATTTGCTTCTCATTTTGGTGTTAATTGATCTCATCATTTGCTCTTCATGCGCTTTCAGTGGTTTCTTTGCTTGCTTAGTTTGTAACCCGAATGAATCATCTTAGCTGCTGCCAGCCTGAGTGGTCTACACTGTCCAGAAGGAGTCGAGGGTTTGTTTACTCATCCCTTCGATCAGACCAAATTCCTCAACTGTAAGGCCGGCAATGTAGCCGTCCAGAGCTGTCCTCCCAATCAGATCTTTAGTATATCAAAGAGTGGTTGCCAATTTAAGGCACAATCTGTCTACACTGACTATGTGTCTTATATTGTGTCTGGGATAAGCCACGACTATTGTAAGTGAAGTCTTCTCCTCTGAGGCTCCTCATAATCTTAGTGACGATGTGTTCTCCCTTCAGCTATGATGCTCACTAGCTGTCCCCCGGGCACTGATGGCCTTCATCTCTATCCCTATGATGCTGCCAAGTATGTCCGATGCGCTGGAGGAGTGCTGTCTATCATTAGCTGTGGAGAGAATATGGCTTATAGTTTTATCAAGCGCGCTTGTCGTTTGACTTATCATTTGACTAGAGAAGAACGAGTCTGGTTCTTTTATGAGCTGAGTTCCATTAGCAGGTCCCATTACAGTTATACGGATAGTCAGGCATTCCAATCTTCATTGACATCCTGCCCACTTAGTCTACATGGCAACTACGCATATCCCTTCGTTGCCAGTCGCTATGTGCTCTGTCAAAATGGACTGTTGCAGGTGGAGTCCTGTCCAGGCGGAACTTTTTTCAGTCTCTCCACTCGAAGGTGCGTGGCACGTCAACAGCTCTCGTCTCATGAGTATTTGGACTACTCTTATATAAATATCCAGCTCCCCAGTAAGATAATCGCTAAGTCAACTTGTCTTCAGTTATCCTCATTTATTTGCTCGCTTCCATAGCGACAACGATGCAAGATCTGACCACTGTTACGTGTCCGGCCAGTGCTCAGGGATACTATCTACATCCCTTCGACTGTACGAAGTATTTGAACTGTCGCGATCAGCAGACTTCAATTGAGAGCTGTGACAAGGGAAAAGTTTTCAGCATTTCGCAAAGACTTTGCGTGGCAACGGATCAATTGGCTGGCAACAACGATCGCGTGGAGTATTTAACAGAAACGCCGAACGAGTTCTACCAGGGCAATCAGGTCGCTGAGGGTCATCAGTTGCATACTACACAGAATGCAAATAGAGAGGTAGTATGCCCCTCAGGTGTTAGTGGTCTTCATCCGCACCCCCACGACTGCACAAAATACCTAAATTGTGCCAACGGACAAACTTTTGTTATGGACTGTGGACCTGGAACAGCTTTCAGTGTATCTTTGCTGTCCTGTGATTTTAAGGACAATGTGGATTGCGAGAGGCACTCCTTCACTGGCAACACTGCTACATCCCACGGAGGTTCAGCAAGCTCAAGCGGATCGGGCTTTAGCGGACATGGTGGATTGGGACACGGCTCCTTCAACGGGGCAGGATGCCCAGCAGGTGCTCGTGGACTATTCCCTATTCCCAGCGATCCTCAGAGCTATCTCAAGTGTGGAATCGGAGTTCAGCCAATTGTGGAGCAATGTAATCCTGGACAGATTTTCGATGCCCACAGTTTGTCATGTGTTCGCCCTGCGTACTCTCCAGGCCCAACCCCTCCTTCCTGTAAGTTAATTTCCATTTCATATTCCAGCCTTGATTTGCTTGTTCCATTTGCTTCTCGCTTGGGTTTCTGACCTCATCTTTTGCTCTTCATGCGCTTTCAGTTCATGTTTACTTGTTCTGTAATCCTAATGCATATTCTTAGCCGCCGCCAAGCTGAGTAATCTCCTCTGCCCAGAAGGAGTCGAGGGTTTGTTTGCTCATCCATTTGATCAAACCAAGTTCTTCGACTGCAAGGCAGGCCAAGTTGCCGTTCAGAGCTGTCCTCCCAGTCAGGTCTTTAGTTTATCCAGAAATTACTGCCAGCCCAAGTCTCAATTGGTGTCAATTGACTATGTCGCTTATTTTGTCTCAGAGATCAACCACGAGTATTGTAAGTGAACTCTTCCCCTCTTCGACCCCTCATACCACTTATGACGATGTGTTCTCCCTCTAGCTATGATGCTCACTAGTTGTCCTGCTGGCACTGATGGCCTTCATCTCTATCCCTACGATGCTGCCAAATATGTCCACTGTTCTGGAGGAGTTATGTCCATTATCAGCTGTGGAGAGAATATGGCTTATAGTTTTACTCAACGCACATGCCGTCCGACGCACCAAATATCTAGAGAAGAACGCGTCAAGTTTATCGTCGAGCTCAGTTTCCATGGCAGCTCCGGCAATACGGGTAGTCAGGCCTTCCAATCTTCATTGACGTTATGTCCACATAGTTTACAGGGCAAATACGCTCACCCATTTCATGCGAGTCATTATATCATCTGCCAAAATGGTGTGCTGAGAGTGGAATCCTGTCCAGCTGGATATGTTTACAGTATATCTAAACGTAGGTGTTCGGCACGCCAACAGCTCTCGTCGCATGAATATTTGGACTATTCTTACATAAATAATCACCTCTCCAGTAAGCTCTTCGTTAAATGTTCTTGTCTTCAGTGATGCTTATTTATTTCCTCGCTTCTGTAGCGAATTTCTTGCAAGACATTGCCAGTGTTAAGTGTCCCGCAGATGGTCAGGGTTACTATCTTCATCCCTTTGATTGCACTAAGTATTTAAACTGTCGCAATCAGCAGACCTACATCGAGAGTTGTGAACGGGGTAAGGTTTTTAGCATCTCCCAACGACTTTGCGTGGCAACGGATCAGTTAGCTGCCACCTACGATCGCGTGGAGTATTTATCAGAAACCCCGCACGAGTTCTATCAGGGCGGGAGAGGATCACCGAGTCCAAGCGGATCGGGATACGGTGGATCATCGGGTCACATAAGTGGAGCCTTCAACGGGGCAGGCTGCCCAGCAGGTGCTCGTGGACTATTCCCTATTCCCAGCGATCCTCAGAGCTATCTCAAGTGTGGAATCGGAGTTCAGCCAATTGTGGAGCAATGTAATCCAGGACAGATTTTCGATGCCCACAGTTTGTCATGTGTTCGCCCTGCGTACTCTCCAGGCCCAACCATTTCTTCCTGTAAGTTAATTTCCATTTCATATTCCAGCCTTGATTTGCTTGTTCCATTTGCTTCTCGCTTGGGTTTCTGACCTCATCTTTTGCTCTTCATGCGCTTTCAGTTCATGTTTACTTGTTCTGTAACCCTAATGCATATTCTTAGCTGCCTCCAAGCTGAGTAATCTCCTTTGCCCAGAAGGAGTCGAGGGTTTGTTTGCTCATCCATTTGATCAAACCAAGTTCTTCGACTGCAAGGCAGGCCAAGTTGCCGTTCAGAGCTGTCCTCCCAGTCAGGTCTTTAGTTTATCCAGAAATTACTGCCAGCCCAAGTCTCAATTGGTGTCAATTGACTATGTCGCTTATTTTGTCTCAGAGATCAACCACGAGTATTGTAAGTGAACTCTTCCCCTCTTCGACCCCTCATACCACTTATGACGATGTGTTCTCCCTCTAGCTATGATGCTCACTAGTTGTCCTGCTGGCACTGATGGCCTTCATCTCTATCCCTACGATGCTGCCAAATATGTCCACTGTTCTGGAGGAGTTATGTCCATTATTAGCTGTGGAGAGAATATGGCTTATAGTTTTACTCAACGCACATGCCGTCCGACGCACCAAATATCTAGAGAAGAACGCGTCAAGTTTATCGTCGAGCTCAGTTTCCATGGCAGCTCCGGCAATACGGGTAGTCAGGCCTTCCAATCTTCATTGGCGTCCTGTCCACATAGTCTACAGGGCAAATATGTTCACCCATTCCTTGCCAGTCACTATGTCATCTGCCAAAATGGTGTGCTGCAAGTGGAGTCCTGTCCAACTGGATATGTTTACAGTATCTCCTTGCACAAGTGTTCCAATCGACAACAGCTATCGTCTCATGACTACTTGGACTATTCTTACATAAATAATCACCTCTCCAGTAAGCAGATCTATAAAATAACTGTCGTAATTGATTCTGATTGACCTTCGAACCCTTAGCTAATCTTGTGCAGGATCTTACCACTGTTAAGTGTCCTCCCAATGCTCAGGGTTACTATCTTCATCCCTTTGATTGCACCAAGTATTTAAACTGTCGCAATCAGCAGACCTACATCGAGAGTTGTGAACGGGGTAAGGTTTTTAGCATCTCCCAACGACTTTGCGTGCCAACGGATCAGTTAGCTGCCACCTACGATCGCGTCGAGTATTTAACAGAAACGGCAAACGAGTTCTACCAGGGCAATCAGGTGACAAGAGATCATCATTGGCATACTCCCTCGCAGTATCCAATTGGTGAGGCAGGCTCATCGAGCTCAAGCGGATGGGGCTCTAGCTCTTATGGTGGATCATCGGGTCACATAAGTGGATCCGTCAGCGGGGCAAGTTGCCCACACGGTGCACGTGGGCTATTTCCCATTCCCAACGACCCTCATAAGTATCTCAAGTGTGGAATCGGCGTAGAGACACGTGTGGAGCAGTGTAATCCAGGAGAGATATTCGATGCCCATAGTTTGACATGTGTTTCTACTGGAGACTTCACTATCCAAACCCCTACCTCCTGTAAGTTAACTTACATTTTAAATTCCAGCTTTGCCTTGTCCATTTGCTTCTCATTTTGGGATTATTATATATCATCTCTTGCTCTTCATGCGCTTTCAGTTAGTTCTTTGCTTACTTATTGTGTAACTCTAACGAATACTCTTAGCTGCCGCCCAGCTGAGTACTCTCCTCTGCCCAGAAGGAGTCGAGGGTTTGTTTGCTCATCCATTTGATCAAACCAAGTTCTTTAACTGCAAGGCAGGAAAAGTAGCCGTTCAAAGCTGTATTCCTGGCCACGTCTTTTGTTTATCCAAAAATTACTGCCAGCCAAAGTCTCAATTGGTGTCCACTGACTATGTGAATTATGCTGTTTCAGAGATCAGCCACGAGTATTGTAAGTGGTTTGCCATTTTTGGTTCTTCATAGTTTTAGAGTTTCTCCCCCTTCAGCTATGATGTTCTCCCGTTGCCCCTCTGGTACCGATGGCCATCATTTCTATCCTTATGATGCTGCCAAATATGTCCGCTGTGCTGGAGGAGTTATGTCCATTATTAGCTGTGGAGAGAATATGGCTTATAGTTTTACTCAACGCACTTGCCGTCCGACGCATCAAGTATCGAGAGAAGAACGCGTCAAGTTTATCGTCGAGCTCAGTTTCACTGGCAGCTCCGGCAATTCGCATAGTCATGAATTGCAATCTTTATTGCCATCCTGTCCACAGGGTGGACAGGGCAAATACGCCCATCCATTCCTTGCCAGTCACTATGTCATCTGCGAAAATGGTGTGCTGCAAGTGGAGTCCTGCCCAGCTGGATATGTTTACAGTATCTCCTTGCACAAGTGTTCCAATCGACAACAGCTCTCGTCTCATGACTACTTGGACTATTCCTATATAAATAGCCAGCCTTCCAGTAAGCGGATCTATAAAATAACTGTCGTAATTGATTCTGATTGACCTTCGAACCCTTAGCTAATCTTGTGCAGGATCTTACCACAGTTAAGTGTCCTCCCAATGCTCAGGGTTACTATCTTCATCCCTTTGATTGCACCAAGTATTTAAACTGTCGCAATCAGCAGACCTACATCGAGAGTTGTGAACGGGGTAAGGTTTTTAGCATCTCCCAACGACTTTGCGTGAACAGGGATCAATTGGTGGCCGCCTACGATCGCGTGGAGTATCCAACGGAAATGCAGCATGAGTTCTACCAGGGTAGTGATAATGCTAATGGTCGTCAGCTATATCCCACTGAGCATTCCCTGAAAGTAGAGATAACTTGCCCGCCTGGTGCTAGTAGACTTCATCCTCATCCCTACGATTGCACCAAGTACCTGAATTGCGCCAATAGACAGATCCTTATGCAGGAATGTAGACCCGGTTCAGCCTTCAACAGCGCAAAGGGCATATGTGAACACGCCGACCAAGTCGATTGTACAGGAAGGAGTAGGAGCGCAGTCCAGACTGCTGTACAGTTCACTAGCACTGTGATTGGTGCTTCCTATCATTTGACTTGCCCTGAGAATGTCTATGGCATGTTCGCACATCCCTTTGATGCCCGGAGCTATTTGTATTGCGTGCAGGGATACACCTCGATCAGGCAGTGCCTGCCCACTGAATACTTTAGCATCAGTCGAGGCTATTGTCTTTCGGAACAGCTTGTCTCTGCGACGGATCGTGTGTCCATGATGGGCTATGTACAGGAGGCTGGCCTACAGCAGGTGGACTGTGAGTAGGCAATTTGAGGTTCAACGTTCAACGAAATCTCTGACTTGAACCCCTTTTGCATTGCAGTTGTGAGTTGTCCTCGGGATGCTGTGGGCTATCATGCGTATCCCTTCGATTGCACAAAGTACTTGAGCTGTGAGGCGGGCGTCACTCGGCTCCAGAGTTGCCCAAATGGACAACACTTTAGCCTTTCGCTGCACAGCTGTCAGTTGCCGGAACAAGTGCAGCGCAACGATCGCATCCACTTGAGCAGTGAGCTGCACACATTCTTCGAGTGGTGGCAGCAGCTCCAGCGTCAAGGAGTCACTGTTAGCATTCTGTGTCCCCCCGGTCTGATTGGCAACTATCAACATCCCACGTTGCCCAGCAAGTATATCGCTTGCACTGCACCACAAGCTCCGGCACAGATCCGCAACTGCGATAGCGATCAGATTTTCAGTGTCTCCCGACGTGTTTGTATGCCAGGCAACCAGGTGCCCACATACGATCGATGCGATTACAACGCAGAGGACTCCTACGGTTGGATAGATCTGCGTCACGGTTACTAACACTCTGAGCACTCCAACACACACTTTATTTACTTTACTAAAATGCTCTTCAATACTTGCAGATGGACGTACTCCAAAAGCCTACGGCTCACACACTCAATATGGCAGCTCTGATCAATACGGCAGCGGATCCGGCGGCATTAAAACGACCGTCGTTCGAACTGGCGATCGCTGGACCAGCATGAATATGCCGCGTCCAGCAGGCATTGGCTTTGGTCATGATGGGGCGAGCACACAGCACTCCCAGGCCAGTGGCTGGTCTGGTCAAGGAAGCGCCTACAGTCACCAGGCGCCCACTCAGAGCGTGCTCTATGTGGAGGGCTCACTCCAGCCAAATCGTAATTATCCTCAACACTCTGCCACAAATACAATCTATAAGGCAGCGCTGGCTCCCATGGCGACCACTCCGACTAGTAACATTTACTATGCCCAGCCCGTAAAGGAAACTGGCGCCTCATCACGCTCTGACTTTGGTCGCGCCCAGACAAACAACTGGCAAACATCACGCAGACCCTTCAATTCCCATTCCTCGAATGGACAGCGACCTCTAGAACTTGACTATCAGCCCGATGAAGATGATCAGCAGCCGCGTCAGGCTTCACGCAGACCCTTCAATCCTCAATCCTCGACTGGACAGCGACCTCTAGACCTTGACTATCAACCCGATGAAGATGATCAGCAGCCGCGTCAGGCTTCACGCAGACCCTTCAATCCTCAATCCTCGACTGGACAGCGACCTCTAGACCTTGACTATCAGCCCGATGAGGATGATCAGCAGCCCCGTTCGGCTCACGATCAGCAGCCTAGCGCATCGCAACTGCAGCCTCGGGATCATTTTCAGACATCTCTTCCGAAGGTGCCTGCTAACCACAGACCCACTTTTCATGCTCAACCGCATTCTCCGTCTGATGAGTCAAATCTTTATGGTGGATTGAAACCACCGCCGCCACCACCTAATTCACCTTTTATTCCCGTTCATCCAAAACATAATCCTCATGCTGCTACTCCGACAGGTCAGCGACCTTTAGACATTGATTATCAGCCCGATTATGATGATCAGGAGCCACGACCGGCTGCAAGTGGTGATCAGCAGCCAAGTTTTCATGCTCAACCACATTCTCGGTCTGATGAATCAAATCTTTATGGTGGATTGCAACCGCCGCCGCTACCACCTAATTCTCCCTTATCTCCTATTCGGCCAAAACAGAATCCTCATGCCCTCCCTACAGGACAGCGACCTTTAGACCTTGACTATAATCCCGACACGGACAGCCAGCAACCTCATGCTCAGCCTCATCCATCTTACACTCCCGTTTCCCCCGTGCCTGCTAATCACAGACCCACGTATCGTGATCCCAAGCCTGTGACAAATGAGTCTAATTTGTACGGTGGCTTGCAGCCGCCCCCACCACCCTCAGCACCATCCCAGACTACACCAGTTCCCTCCACCAGCTCGACTAATTTGCGCACGTATCCCATTTACCCGCCCGTATTCAATGCCACGCCTCCTCATACACCCAATAACCCACACTATAGTCCATCCTATTCGGGAGTTGCGCACTCGTATAATGCTACCTGGCAGAAGGTGCCACCGGCACCTGCACACGATCCATTCAATGCGCCAGAGGATTACGTCGAAGCTGACAATGATGATGATGATTCGGTGACCACCACCACTACAGAACCAAGCAACTTAAGGCCACCGCCCTTCGACCATAAGTTTTACAATCCAACACAAGCCGCTGCCACGCAACCATCAAAGGTGGCGCTTGGCGAGGCACTGCGTCTGATGTTGCGTCCCTATTTCAATCATAGCGGCAATGCCGAGGAGTCTCTAGCCCAACGTGCTGAATCGGCCATTGCCACAGCTATAAGCAAACCACCCACTTCATCTAAACACCCGACACGCACCACCACCCCGACGACGACGACCACGACGAGTAGAAGCCCGAATCGTGGCCGACAGACACTGGACGATGACGCCGAACTGATTATGGCTGGCGAACAGGAGAGCCTGGACGATACTGACAATGAGTCTGTTGTTCCAGGTGCGGTTGAGACGGCGCGCACTGAGCAGACCCTAAATCCAACGACGTACGCCTCCGGCCACGACACGACTGACTTCCAACGTGGTACTCGTCGAGTGGACATAGACACCACAACCAATTCAAATACGAATCAAACACCAATCCAATCAACGAACAATTGGCACACGCGGGTTCACAATCGTGAGTTCCACCAGCGTCATCCAAATCTGCCCGATCCATTCGATAAGCCACAACAACACCACAACCACCATCATCCACATCATCGCCACCAACACAGCCCACACTACCACAAACTACATCCCGAGTTGCCCAATCCATTTGACCAACCAAAAGAGGTGCAACCGCAGCCATTTTTTGATGAGCAGCCCCAACAAGAGTTTGAGGAGTTTGATCCCGATTATCTGCCCAATCCAAATGCAGAAGCAACCACTCCACACACACCTAAAGTAGATTTTCGCAGCGGCTTCGATGTCACCTGTGAATTCGACTGCGGCGGTGGCAAGTGTGTGAAACACTTGGAAGTCTGCGATGGTGTCAACAACTGTGGCAATCGCAAGGATGAAAGCCAGTGCGATCATCTGGGCTACCAGGTGCGTCTGACGGGTGGCGAAAGTCCACACATGGGACGCGTTGAGGTTAAGGGTGAGTTGGAAATACACAAAACTAGAAATGACACCCTAATCCCCGTCTACTTTTCCAGTCAATGGTAAGTGGGGCTATGTTTGCGATGACAAGTTCGGATTGCCTGACGCGGATGTTGTTTGCCGGGAGCTGGGGCACAAAATGGGCGCCTCTGAGGTGCGTGGCAACTCCTACTATGAGCCACCGGAGCGTAACTTCAACTATGTCATGGATGAGATCGAGTGTCGGGGCAATGAGACGCATTTAAAGGATTGCGACTTCAAGGGCTGGGGTGTCCACAACTGTGGCGTCGATGAGGTTGTCGGTGTCGTTTGCAAAGTGCCCGTATTGAAGTGCCCCAACAACTTCTGGCTCTGTAAGACCTCCAAGGAATGCATTCCGCCCGCTTTTGTCTGCGACAACACCGAGGATTGTGCGGATAAGTCGGACGAGAGTAATGCCGTTTGCAAGGTGCGTAGTTACCCAGGTTAAGGCATAAGGTTTCTGACTAATCTCTTCGCTTGCAGGCACCCATTGAGTACCGCCTGGAGGGTGGTCGCAGCTCCAACGAGGGACGATTGGAGGTCAAGTATCATGACGTCTGGGGCAGCGTTTGCGATGATGATTTCAATCTCAAGTCGGCGCAGGTGGCCTGCAATGCGCTGGGCTACTATGGACCAGCAGTAAGTGGTGCCTCTATAAAAGTGTGTTTCTCTCGATCGATATTAAGGATTTTCTTGTCTATTCAGAAAATCGAGAAGAACATCTTTGGACCGGGCAACGGACCCATCTGGCTGGATCAGGTCATGTGCGTGGGCAACGAGACGAGCATTGACCAGTGCCGCCACTGGAACTGGGGTGAGCACAACTGTAATCACACTGAGGATTTGGGACTACGCTGTACGGCAGGACCCCCACCACGTACGTCGCGACAACGCACCAGGTTGGAGGTGGTGAGCAAGAATCAAACTGCAGCTGGAAAAGGTGGAAAAGGTGTTAGTCTCTCCGACATTGGACTATGGGAGAGATCGAGTAAGGCGTTGCACACGCCACGACGCTGTGGCATCTTCAAGGACGACCTGTTTGATGAGTTTGCGCATCCGGAGCAGCGTGTCATCAAGGGCAATGTGGCGCGTCGTGGCCGTCATCCGTGGCAGGCAACAATCCGTAAGAGGGGACGCGCAAGCATCTCGAGTCATTGGTGTGGCGCTGTGGTCATCTCGAAGCGGCATCTCCTGACTGCCGCCCACTGTCTCTACGGTCAACTGAAGGGTGGATTCTTTGTGCGCGTCGGAGATCACTATGCCGACATCGCGGAACATTCCGAGGTGGACTCGTTCATCGAGAGGTGGTATACACACGAACAGTTCCGACAGCCCACACACATGAACAATGACATTGCCGTTGTGGTGCTAAAGACACCACTGAAATTCAACGACTATGTGCAGCCGATTTGTTTGCCGGACCTCGATGCACCGCTCCTTGAGAATCGTACTTGTACCATCTCCGGCTGGGGCTCCATCAAATCAGGCATGTCCAGTAAGTAAACTAATATTCCGTAAATATATATACTTTAAATCTATAAACTCTTTACAATTGCAGCTCCATCCCAGGAGTTAAGAGCTGCACAGCTGCCAATTTTGCCGGAGGACACGTGCAAGCAGATGAATGTGTACGGAGATGCCATGACGAAGGGTAAGTGCTGTATAATTCAATGATTGATTGAGTGTACCACTTTTTGTGGCATTTTTCAGGCATGTTCTGCGCGGGCTCCATGGATGAGAGCGTTGATGCCTGTGAGGGTGATTCAGGTGGCCCACTTGTCTGCTCCGATGAGGGTAAGTCATAAAAATAAAGCGTAACTTTTATTTTATTGAGCTAAATGTTTCGCTTCGCTTGCAGATGGTGAGACCCTATATGGCATTATATCCTGGGGACAGCATTGCGGCTATCGGAATCGTCCTGGCGTTTATGTGCGCGTCTGTCACTATATCGATTGGATCTACGAGAAGATCAATCAAAGTTTGCGCCACTTTTAAACCATCGCCCTCAGCAGTTAAATTTCATGGCAGCGCCTAAAAGTAGGCAATAAAAATTGCGCTCAGCTTCTTTTTGATTTATTTCGCGAGGGGGAAAACAAACAGGCGCGCAGATTAAGCACATAATCAATGCTAATAAAAACACACAATAACAACAAGAATAACAAGAACAACAAGAACAATGCGGACTGACTTTAATTCACAAGTGATGGCATTTTGACTCATTTCAACCACATTCCATCTATCCACCTCGGCTCTGCTTGCCCCTTTCAGAAATGTGCTCTGCTTTCTGTTTGTGGCTCAAGCAATTTAAATTGTCAGCTCAAGCAAATACATAAACACCTATTCACACATATATGTATATATATATATGTATATGCAATCGCACTCAATTGACATGACTTGGCAAGGGGTGGTTGCGAGGTGTGCGGTGCCATTGTGCGGGCGTTGTGCGCACGATGGGATCAACAGAGGCTCAACAATTAAATTAATTAACTAATGATCAACGCTCAACTCTACGCAATATTTAGTGTACAAAAAAAGAATACAATTCCCTCATCCCCATTGGTTTCTCTCCTTTTTTTCTCAATTGTTCACCGCTCTTTCGCTCAATCCGCTCAATTGTGCTCTTTCCCTCTCTCTCTCTCTCTCTCTCTCTTTGGCTGAGTCGCTGGTTTTTGCTCGAATTATGATGGCAGTTGCCTCTGGCATTTCATTTGGTGCAGTTCAAGCTCAGACTCCGTTAACGTTTTAGGGCCAAACGCTTATCAGCCGCAACTGATAACTGATAGCTGGATAGATCGTGCATCAATATGTTTATTAAGTTCGTTGTATTCTGTGTGATAGTCGACATTTGTGCGGCCAACAATCTGGATCATTATAACTATGGCTCAATGGATGGCACCACCAGCACCGAGCGCATCAACGCCGCCATGCGTTGCGTTAACGTTAATCCACAGAACTCTGTCGATCTGGAGCAGGTGAGATTAAGATACAAAAATGAGTACATGAAAAACATCATTGTGGAATGTGCTCAGTTGTTAAATAATCCAATTACACTTGATTTGTGCTAATTAACCCTTTCGGCTTAAGGCCGTATGTCACATTGATGGGTCGGTCGTTTCTACAGACAACAGACAGACAGACAACAGACAGACAGTTAGTCAGTTAGTCAGACTCTTTGTATGCGGGCAGCTAATTGACCCATTCCCGCAACTCGCATGCAAATCGCCATTGCTCAAATTATCAAGCACTATGTACGTGTGTATATATGTACTTACATATATTCATCATTATTTGAATTTTAACACAGTTGAATAGGTCGACAACTACGACTCAAGTTGACACTCAAATTGGGAATGCCAATAACCAATTAAGATTAGTTTTAAATGCAAATAAAATTAAGATGCTTAATGTTAATTGATGGACAGACAATTAGAAATATTCTTTCAAGATCTTTAATTGAGCTTAATAATATATATACAAGTAGATACGGATCAATATTGTCCAGATCCTTAGTTTGCTTTAACTTTGCAACTGAACAGATTCTTAAGCACGATACCTGTTCACCAGTTCTAGTTCTATATCTAAAATTTATGCGATTCCTTTTTATATTATGGTTTTGTGCAAATGTATGTAACAGGCCGACCCTTAAAGTGTATATATTCTTGATCAGGGTCAACAACCGAGTCGATATAGCCATGCTTGCCTGTCTGCCTGCATTTCCTGAGTGCATAAAAATGCGAGCGGATTTGTGAGAAAGAGATGACACGAGCGTCAATATGTCTGTCAATATATGAATTCTACAGAGTCACGTTTCGCTGTTACGATTGCGTGTACGTATATATGTATGTGTGTATGTAGGAATATTAACGGGTTTGTCGGCAGAATGGACTTCGATTTTGCTGTACAATTTTTAAAGGGAAATTCGCCAATAAAAATGAAATATATTTAACAACTGGGTTCAGGGCAAATCGTAGTTGAGATCACTCGACTACAGCACTCTTGTTATTGTTTAGTTGTATACATCTGCTTAATCATATATAGATAATGGGCCTCTGGTATGGTAGCGAGATAATAATGCATAGCCAAGACTTTCCCGGCGTCTACGAGTACGATTCGTGTGTTATCATTCACCTGACCGATGTCACACAGCAGGTGAGTCTAAGCCAGAATCAAACTTTCTAAAAGCAATTCAAGTACAATTTGGCGTGTTTAGGTGCGCAACAACAACAACTACAACAACAATCGTGGCTACAACACAAACTACAACAATCGTAATCAAAACAATTACGGGCACATTTCGACGACGCCCCAATATTATCTAGATAACGATGATCATGTGCGTCAGCCGCCACGCACAAAGTATCTGCGTCTGGTGTGGAGCGAACGGGACAACAATCTGGAGTACACCTTCAACTATACGGCTGATGCGCCCGGCCAATGGTCGAACATTGGTGATCAGAGGGGTTCCCTGGTCCAGCTGAACTCGTACACCCAGTTCACGGGCACTGTGCAGGTGGTCAAAGCGGTCAACGATCATTTGGTTTTGACCTTTTGCGGCAACGATGTCAAGAGCTCCATTTATACGGTGGTGCTAACACGCAATCGGCTCGGCCTCAGCACAGATGTAAGTTGCAACTGATAGACACGCAAAAAAATAATATATTTGCTCTAGAATCTAGAATATGTCTAGTTTTTGAGTGAACTGATTCTTGTAACAGCTATTTACTGTGATTAATTACGCTTATTACTTCCTATCTCACTCTCTATCTCTCTCTCTCTCTCTCTCTCTCTCTTGCAGGAGCTGCGCAGCATACGCAGCATGCTTTCCCGCCGTGGCCTCTACTCGGAAACCATACGCAAGGTTTGCAGTGGGGCTCCAAATGTAGGCGGCGGTTTGCTCTCGCTGCTGTCGCTGCTGCTACTTGCCGCCTGGGGGCGATGCCACTGAGAAAGAGAAAGAGCAAGAGCGAGAGAGAAAGTGGCATCTTGCTGTAGAGGAACCGCATTCCAGCCATATTCTATTTGTTAATTTATGCATAATCGACTTACTTAAGCATTTAACGCTCGGAATACAATTGCAGCTAACTGCTAACCAAAAACCATCTAGTTTCGGTGCCTTAATTGCTCTTGTCGCTGTTAATTAAACTCAATTAGTTTTGTAACCAGTTCCCCCAACTCCCCTCATCATCCTATCTGTCCGACTGTCTGACTGTCGTAGCTAAGTCTAAATAATATATGTAGGCGTTAAGTGCGCTTTTAATTCAATTATAAACTTTCTTGACAAACATCGTTTCTATGTTTCACTTATTTGGATTCGTAATTCCCACGCTAACCGATGCTCTTAGACCAGTTAGATTTTCAGAGATATTTGAGTTTTATGATTAGACTAACTAGCAACTTGTCTTTTATATAACCCAAAGCTTAAATAGCATTCCTCATTTGAAGCCAATTTCCTTTCTATTCAGCAAATTTTAAACGAATTCGAATTAGGGAATATGCCCAAGCACTTTTGAGATTATTCTAATCGCATCCCAGTGACGTAAATCTGTCTATGGAAAATAGTGTAGAATTTCAGTATTTTTGACGTGTTCAGCTATGTTATCATCGGCAAAAGGGGTCGAGAAAATTTACAAATGTTTAGATTTACATTTTTTATTATTGAAATCGATGATGTGTGGAATATGCCTAAGCAGTTTTCAGACTACTCCGCAGCAAAGTGGGATTAATGCTTGCCATGGCAACAAGTCTGGCCGGTAATTATAGTGTTTTCTTTTAGATTTCAATCTTATCGAAATGAGTCTTTGGGTTAATTTATCTTATCGCTGGGAAGCACGCGAATGTATGCTGTTTGTCTGGCGAGTTCTCCATTTGTTTTCATTTAAACATTTAAACATTTTGATAATATTGTTTTTTGTTTTTGGCGGAAAGGTTCCCTGACTTCATCGGCTTATCAGCAAACCATTTTTTGGTCTACTTTCCATCAAAAGATCCGAGAGCCGAATGTGGAAAGTTTTTGTCGAAAATATTATGGAAGGTTTTAAGTTGATATTGCTGATTCGATTATACATTGATCACCAGCATAAAACGTGTTGAATTCTTATCATCTGCAAATGCAAACCCCGCCACAAAGGGCGACCTTGATCTTGAAGTGCCGTGCTAAGGCTGTTTTTGTTTACTAATTGGCTTTTGATGTCATTGTTATAATTATTATATAATTATTATTTATTTTACAATGGCTTTACGGCGCACGCTTAAATTTACAACGTTGTAACTGCAGTTTTTAGACGGTTTGTTTTTGTTTTGAAAATTGGCTTATCAGTCTGTTCCGCTTATATTGCACTTGTAGATAAGCCAAGCAAATAATCACCAAGACAGTGCCACACGTAGGCAGTTCTGTTTTATACCCCCTCTAAGGGCCTGAACACGCTGCAATCAGCTGCTATGGGGCCTGGATTTGGATCTGGATGTGGAGGAATCACGCTATGGGATGTGTTTCTAAATGGAGAGGTATTAGTTTGGCTATCTCAGATATGACATTTGCTTATGGAGTATCGTGTATTCTATCGAGAGTGAATTTAAAAACCGGATGTGATTACTAATTTGCCAGAGACAGGCTTAAGCTTGGCATAGGGAGATAAGGATTAAAGTGATCAGTTGTCAGAATGAATTTGCGTAAATGATATGTGAAATGTGCACGATCGACGTCAAATTTAGCATATATATTAAATCTGAATATCAGCATTAAGCATATAGTATACATATATATGCTATACGATGACGACTTTGCACTTTGAGTTGCGTACATGGAAGTTGTGCCTGTGCAATCACCTGAGGAGTCCACACCAGTTTGGCACATGTAAACAAAGGTTTGTGTCGCAGTTCCACACAAAATAATAATAACGACATAAACTTATCAATGTGCTTGTGAACAGCTACAACTACAATTCAAGCACTTACAATAAATAGGAGAAGATAAGCAGCTAGCAGCTACTCAGTGGAACCGCTGATTGCTGCAGCTATAAAAGCGGCTGCTTGTGTAAAGTCAATTCACAGAAACATTTCGTTGGTCAAACGTGACAAATGCTTGAAGCAGCGACTACAGAAAAACACATCAAATAACAATATTATAGAGCCAGCTCTATAGTAATACCTGTGATATTAGTACCAGTAGCAGACTAAAGTACTTAACAACAATTTCAACACAATGACGGCGGCGAATAAAGTGAATTATTTGGTTGGAGCCACATCGCGGTTTATAGCCGGACGCAATGCTGTCCAGACTGTTTACTGGCGCACCTCGTCGGGACCCAATCCTCGCATGCTGAAGACGAAAAGGACCTGTGAGTTCGATAGGAATCAGCAGGCGCCGCAGAGTGTGCGCATGCAGAATTATAATCGCACCTTCATCAACAAGGAGTAGCTGCCACAGCTGCCACACCAACAAACCCCTATATAGTTCCTATCTATACGTATCTTTTAGTGTGTATTTATTGTATCCGACGAAGTCACCTCCACAGGCAGCGAAATAAATGACGAGTCTGTAGTTTTTAGTGCAAACAAAGTAAACCAAGTGATATTTTCAATGGGAACCGCGATAAGCGCAGGTCTTGTGCGTCATCCATTCAATGTCTGAGCATGAATTGAAAGCATGTCTATCACATGTAATTTACTTACAAATGAGTCACGCCTGGATAGAGTAAGCTGAGATTGCAAGAGATGTGCTCTCTCACAGTATGACTTTGTTGGCATATACTCGTATATTTAAAGGTATCTGAGTAATCATCCTTGCTGACATCTACGTTTTACTACAATATGATGTCATAGTCCAATGTCGAATTGTTGGACGAGCAAATTGACACAGCAACTTTCAATCAATCGTTGCTAAGGGTATAGCTTTGTTATATGGGGATCCGATTCATCCTGCAACAAAACAGAGGAACTAACTCTCATTAAAATAGACAAATAGTTGGACATGGCTATATTGAAACAGTTGGAGGCGTTTCCTGAAAAACACAATACAAGAGTATAAAAACGGTTCCCAAAAATGCTATGGGATCTATAGGACAAGAATCGTGTTTTAATTCTTACCTCAATACCAAAAGAGAAGTGGAGAAGAATAAAATCCCAGAGATGATAACTCTGCTCTTTCTGGAACAGACTAAGTAAAGTACTACGAAATAAAACTTTTCTTGCATCAGTTTTTTTTTAATTATTTATGTATTTTATTTAGTTTTATATTTATTACATACATTGAGTTCTTCTCATATATATCATTTATTTATGTTTGTCGGTTTTTCGTATTTATGGTTTATTTTTGTATGTATGTATGTTTGTATGTATGTATTTATCTTGATGTATATACGCTTTGTTTGTTTGTTTGTTTGTGTTTGTGTGTGTTCTTTGCATGTTTTCATGTTTGCCTTTATGTTTAGGTTTATAATTTCGTTTTAGATATCGATCGTACTTAATTTGTATAGTATTTAGCATTTAGTTAATATAATTCTTCTCGTCGTGGGTGAAATGTGTTTTACGTTTGTTTATTTGTTGTTTTTTTGTTGTTTTTTTTTTTGTTTTTTTTTTAATTATTTCTCGTCTTTAAGTATCGTAATTTAATCTTAAAATTACAGCCTTTATAAATAATTATTTTTTTCGCCTTTCCTTCCTTCGTTTTTTTTTCTCGTTTTTTTTTTCTGGTTTTTCGTTTTTCTTTGTAATTTAATATGTTTTGCTTTATACTTCTTATTTCGCTTGCCGTTGTACTACGTATCCTCTTTTGCCTTTCTTTTTAATTGTTACTAAATATAGATATATAGAGACCTTTTTGTGTTTCTTTTTTTTTATCTTTTTCTGCATCGTATTTGATGTATTTGAATAATTTGCACACATGTATATAATATATATATATATATATATATATGTATATATATATAATAGTTATCTAAATATATATTCATATAGATTTCATATTTGACAATTTCAGTTGGGCTTAGTGTCTGGCTTTGCTTTTGTTTGTGTAGTGTAGTGTAGTTTTTCCATTGTTTTTATTTTTGTATTTTATTTTTAATTTTTGCACACGGAAGTTTTTGAGTTGTACACGTAAAAACCCAAGAAAAAAAGTACACACAAAATTTGTGACGTTTTTCTCTGTTTTCTTTGTAATAGATTTGTTTTTCTTTGGTTTTTGAATGCTTGGAATATGTTTTTGTTTTTGTATTTGTATTTGTATTTGTATTTTTCTATGCCACATTATTTTTGCCTAACTCAATTCACACATCGAAAACAGTTGCATTTCGTTTTGATCTCAAAAGAGAAAAATATATATTAATTATTATCTTTAATATTTGTTTTTTTTTTTTTGTTTTCATTATTCATAATACATATATATATATATCATTTTTGGTTTTCGATTAAAAAATATTGCAGCTCAAAATTGTAATACTTTTGTCATACGTTTATTATTATTATTATTATTATAGTTATTATATATATACCTTTTACTTCGCTAGTTCATTTATACAGATGTATTGACTACCCCTAGCATAGAACCCAGTTGAGATCAGTTGTGGTTGTTCTTGTCTCTTTTCCCCGTCTCAATTCTATGCTAGTTCTGATATTTCTTAGAGTGTGTGTGTGCTTTTTTCTCGACTGATCTAGATATCCTTATAATGCAGTAGCTTAACCTGAACTTGATCTGTTTGTTTGTTTGTTTGTTGGTATTATTGTATTTAAGTGTTGGGTTGATTTTCTCATATGTTTTACGTATTTGATGACGCTACTTTATGCTGCTTCAGTATTGTAATACTACATAGTAAATATCTTATGTATCTCGTATGTATCTTGTATATATAGACTCTTAATCGTGTGGTAAATTTTTAGCTAGAGCTTTCTGTCGTACGGAAGAATTTGGATACATTTCGTTTTTGTCGTTAATCGCGTGTTCTTGTTTTCCTTATTTGTTTTTATTTTTGTTTTGTTTTTAGCTAAAAGTTATAATTTATCTAGAAGTTTCATTGCTAATCTTTGCTATTTATACCATAGTTTTCTTTTTTTTTTACTGGGCGCTTAACATTGATTTTGATGTCTGTGTGTGGGTGTGTGTGTGTGTGTGTGTGTGTGGGTGTATCTAGATCTTCAGCTATTTATTTAATCTGTTGTTTGGTTTGCAAATTTGCTTCAGCTTCGTTTTGTTTCAATTTGTTTAAATACACAAAACGCAAAAGGGAAGTAATTTCAGTTGATAGATGAGAAAACTGAAAACAAGAATGAAAGTCGAACGAATTTAGTTAAAATATAAGTCGTACTTAATTTGTCAGCAGAAGGCAAAACGGAAATTGCACACAAATTGATATATAAAATATAAATAGCAACGGCAGCACAGTTTTTTGGTTTTATTCAGCTTTAGAGACTTTTGCATGCCGTTGGCAAAGAAATATTACAATAAGTGTTTTTCATAAATTCATTCAATATTTTTTCTTTGTATATAAGTATTTCTCATATGTGTGTGTCTCGACTAAAAATACTCAACAACAATTTTCATTTACTTGAAACCATTTTAGCTACAATTTAAATATGTTTTGTTTTTCGTTTTGTTTTCATTTATTTTTTGGTTGTATATATATCATATATCTTATATATCGTTAAATATTTCTACGCATTCGCCACAACATGAAAGGAAAATATCATTTTTGCAACATTCTATCATTGAGTTCACTTTCTTCGTTGCTTTTTCACCATTTGCCATATGTTTGTTGTAGTTGTTGATGTTGTTGCCTCAAGCTTGAGCCTTGATACGATATTCAAATTGTCTTGTATATTTATATATATATATATATGTATATATTGTATGGAAAGTTCTCAAAAATGCTTTGCTGACAATAACATGATCTAAAAAATGTCTTGTATATAAAAAAGGAGTTGAAAAGTTATGGGGGTTTCCAACTAAACTAACAACTGACTGTGACTAACTATATATTGCTAATATATGATATAATACGATGCCAAGCCATCAACTATAGGGGTTTGTCTAATACATGATATCGCACGATGCCAAGCCATCTTTAACAGTGGGGGCGTTTGGAATATCCACCACGCCCACTCTCACCAATTTAGCTATTTCGCTCTCCTCTTCTTCATTTTTCTCTCTATATATATATATATAGATATATATATATATATAATGCACCTATGTGTGGGTTTTTGGGTTATTTCTCTCATTTCGAGTTCGTTGCATTGTTTATTGTATTTTGTGTGTGGGTCTGTGTGTGTTGGGGCGCAGTCTGATAAACTGTATTCACTATAGTATTCATATGCATACCGAATGATTCAATTAGTATTCAATTCATTATACACTTATATGATAATTATACATTGCTCGCTCCTTTCTCGAACCAATCAACCATATTGGCTTGCGACTGACTGTATCTATGTGTGTGTGACTGTCTGTGTCTGCGTGTCAATCACATTTTCATTCTGTATGTGTGTGTGTGTGTGAGTGTGTATGTGTGAGTGTTTTAATTATTTTAATATTGCTCTCTATTATATTGTGTTACTCGTTATTTATTAATTGTAATTTATGCTGCTTTCCTAATGCCCAGTTTTGTTTTATAATTATTTTTTACTTGCGACTTGACTAATAAGTACAATATCATAAAAATAACACTGTATATTTTGTTCTTTACCATTTTGTTAATAATTTACGTTTGTTTTTTTTTTTTTTTTGGTTTTTGTTTTTGTTTGTAAATATAAATATATATAATATATATCTCAGGTTTTCCATTTATTAAATACAATATAATATAACCATATATAAAACGCGCTCGCGACTAAATCAAATTTCCAACACTGTCCCCATTACCGAGTCCTCACCCCTACCCCCTCCTCCCTACCGTTTTGCACACTACACACCCCACTTACCATACAGCGACACCTGTGTGCCGCATTTGAAAAATTCGTAAACACTTTGTTTTTAAATATATATTTTTTAGTTATTTGTTTTTTTTAGCGTCAGTCTTTTGTAAATTAAATTTTACTTCAAAAACATTTTAACGCACACACACAGGCGTTGACGCGCCTACACACCTACACACACACACACACACACACGCGTACGCTCTCAGCAGGGTGGGTGCATAGCAAAGGGGGGTAGGGGATAGTTGGGGGGTACATCTTCTAGCCAAAAGCCGGACGCGCTCTGCATATTTATAAAAAATGTTGCTTTTCGACTTGTATATATATACATATACATACACATATGTATACCTTATTTGTATATATATATATATATATTTAATAAAACGTGTACATATATACATATGTATAGTTTATATAAGGTTTTTATTCAATTCACATGTAGACGTTTTTTTAAAAAATGCATTTTTCTTATGTAAAAACGATTTTACTTGTTTTTAGTTGAATTAATCGTAATATAAATATTTGTTATCTGTAAAGACGCCATCGAGATATTGTTCTTGTACACTCATATTTATATATATATATGTATATATTGTAAGTACTTATAGATATATATATGATTTATCTATATTTGTATAGCCCGCAGGCCGCACGGGAAGATTTGTGAGAGACAAGAGTTTTTTGTTGTTAGCAAATCATTAATAATTGAACTACATTTAGATTATATAGAAGCTGTTGTTTTTTTTTCATATACGAGTATGTATATATGCTTAGTAGGCGCTCGACTGCGTTTGATATACATATACCCTTGCAAGGGGTATTTTCCCTACTGCTTCTATGTTCTAGTTTTCCCCTTTCCATAAAACGTTTTGCTTTTATTTCAAGGCAGTAATTGCATTTGATCACTGTGTTTATCTAATGGGAACGAGCAGACTAAAGCCTTTCAAGGGTATTTGGACTTCGGCAGACCGAAGATATAATCTTGATTTAACTGTTTTTATCATTGCAATTGATTAGAGCTAATTTGACACAACCGTTTAATTCAACTATTAAATCGTTTAATTCACTGAATCTACAACACGACGACTTTAAATAGTTGCCCCTCACAAATAAAATGATTCGTTGCACATTTTGCGAAATTCACTTCTTAAGGCGCACCCTAAAAGTATGCTACAGATTTATTGCGGGCAGCATGTGGGCATAATTTCTCATTACGTATACGCCACGGCGTGTGTGTGTGTGTGTTGTGAATGTTAAGCAAATGAAAATTAAATGTAACAAATAACTAAAGGAAGTTCGTATCTCTCGTGTTTCGGGCTCGTCGTTTATCTCTTGTTAAATAGTTGAAACTCAAAATAAAACGATTCGTTGCACGTTTTGCGAATTTCAGTTTTTAATGCGCATCCTGAAAGTAGGCTACAGTTTTATTGTGGACATAATTCACATTACGTACACGCCACGATGTGTGTGCAGCGAATGTTAAACAAATTAAAATCATATTAAATTATAAATCATAACAAACATGAATAAAAGAATTCGAAGTTTGTATCTCGTTTCGGGCTCGCATCATTTATTTGCTTAACAATTGTCAATTGTGAATTTGAACATTTTAAATTTAGAAAACAACTTCTATACACAAAGATAAACAAATTTTGGTTTACAAGCAGTCCAAAAAGGAAGATGACAAAATCGATAAGTATCGATAATTATTGAATGCAGTAGAAAACGTTAAAATTTGGTGAAATCTAGCCACAGTGAAATACAAAAAAGAAACTCCTAATCGGAACGCCAAAGACTGAGCCCGAAATTTTGCATTGGCCGCAACGATAAATGTTGCTGGTTGTAGTATTCGATTTACAGTTATCGGGTTCTGTACTTGCCGCAAAGTGCTAGCAAGGCTAAACACATTGAGACTTGTATTGAGTTGATTTTCGTGGTTTGGAATAAATTCTTGAAGAATTTTGGATATGCTTCGGTCTCAAATGGGCCTCCACTAGTTATTATTTATGGGGAAACGACGTTGAAGCTTGCTAATATCCTGCTGCTGTTGTTGTTGCTTCGTTTTTGATGTTTGTCATAGTAACGCAATAAACAAACTATTGAACAAAATGAACAAATAACAAGAAACTGTTTTTTTCTGTGTTTGTTTTTGTTTTTTTTTTTGTAGTGTTGGCGCCTTCAATGTTGCACTGCATTATCTTTGTCGGCATTCCTTTGTCTTGTTCAGTTTTACGCACTGGAGGAGCAGCTGATTTTGTACGTTTTTCGGATGTTTTTTTGTTGCTAAAAGTGTTCTTTTTTCTTTTTAAAAATTATAATGCTGGAGCTTTAGAGAGAGTTCTTTCTGTGGGGACTACATGGCCATGCGCCAGTTGTTCACCGAGATGTTATTGGCTCTGCTAACGTTGCGATTATTGTTGCTGTTGCTGCCATCATCGAAATCCCAAGCGGCAAGTTGAGGACTCTGTTGCGGCATTTGTGTCTGGGTGTCTGATAGGAAATCGGATTAGGTACGATGAGAGATACAAACAAATAAACAAACTAAATACTGTAAGCAACAAAAACATATAAATAATAATAATAACAGGTTTGTTTCTGTGTTTTTTTTTTTTTGCATTTTGCTAAAAATTACTAAGTAGCTGTTGCTTTATTGTTTTGTTTTACTCTTTTAGTTCTTTCTCTTTTTAGCCTTTTTTCGTGGCGCTCTTTTCGAATAGATGTGGGTGTTTTGAGTGTGAGTGTGTGTGTGTGTGAGTGTGACTCTTATATAGTTGTTAAATAATTGTGATGATCATGTCGCTTTTCCACTTGATTTGTATATGTATATATATTATATATAGTATGTATATATATATACTCTATATCGAGCTAGAGCTGCACGTATAATTATTAGTTAATTTTTATTTTCTTATTTCTTTTTTTTGCGTTTTCTATAATTGCTGAATTCATTTAGGTAGGTTGTTACTTAGTACTAAAAACGTTTCTTCTCCGTCTGCTCCCAACTTGAGCTACACTTTTAATCAGTTGATTTTCTTTAAAATACACATATATATATAATATTATATATATATATATATATATATATAATGTTTTCTTTTACTTCTTTTACTTATTGTTTACTGTTTATGCCTTTTGCTATGATATATATAATTTTTTTTCACTTTTCTTGCCTTTTTGCTTTGACTAATTTGTGTTTTTTTTTTGTATTTTTTCTTTTTAAATATATATATATAGTATATATATATTTAATATATATATATGTATATATTTATATGCATTTTTATGTACGTTATGTATGTATATGTAGTATACAATATAAATATTCACTATTATTAATATATATATATATATATTTATATATATATATATATATATGCATGTATAAACTTAATAGATTTTTTTGACGATGGGACACAATCTGCTTACTGCTTACAGTAAAAACTTAAGAACCTCTTCTTGCTGCTTCTTCTCTTCCCTCGAGTCAGACAATAAATTGAGTTACAAACAGTTTTTTTTTAAATCTTATTCTTCTTTTTGTTTTGTTTTCTTTTTTTGTTTTTGTATGTATGTCAGCAAAAATGTTCATAATAATTATGCCATTTGTATATATGTATATATATATATATATATATATATTTAATATTGTTTTAAACCTAAACCATTTATTTATGAATTTTTGCTTTTTGTTTTTCAAAATATCACGTATATATCTTAAGTTATGCCTTGGATTTATTAGTTGCGGTTCATGTGTCTGTGTCTGTCTGGCTATGTGTGTGTGTGTGTCTGGGTGTGTGTGTGTTGGGTATGCCAGTGCTAATAGGACATTTAGCTAAAACTAAGTCTGTCCCTTTAACAAAAATTCATAACCTAAATCTATTTCGCATTTTTGTGAGTGCTGAAAAAACGCTCGACTGGCTTTAAGTACACTCCACGTGTGTGTGTGTGTGGGTGTGAGTGATGTGTGTGTGTGTGTGTTGTGTTGGGGCTTATCTGGTGGATGTAGTTTTCAACTAGAGCATATCAATTATTCAATTATTGCTTTTATTTTCGTTTGGTTTTGTTTTCTTTTCTTTTTGCCATTTCTAATTATTGTTACGATTCGATTTTAAAAATGTTTTTTTTTTTTTTAGATTTTTTTTTTTGTTTTTTTTTGTATGTATTAAACTATGCAACAATTGAGTTTTAAACGTTACAAATTTGTCAACAAGTTTTTAAGGGATCTGCGGGGCAGTCAGGCAGGCAGGCGACTGCGGCGACGGGGAAGTGGGTGGAGGAAGGGGGTGTGGTGTGGTGTGGGGTGGGTTGTGGTGGCGACTGCTTCAATTTGCAGGTAATTTGTGAAACCTCTGGGTTCGATTTTGTTTTTGGTGTGTGTATATGTGTGTGTATGTGTGTGGGCAAATAATTTGGTTGTTATTTTTGTTGTTGTTGTTAAGGCAAATGTGACCTTCATAAAATATACATATAAATAATTTGTTCTTAGCCAAATTATGCACCAATTTGTTGTTTTTCAATATTCTTGGAATTTGGAATCGTCGCCGCCGCCGCTGTTGAGTTAGCCCAGCCCTTTCTTTTAAATAATTTTCATTTAATTTAGTTTTATGCCAAGAGTTAACAATTAGATCCGTAACAAAAAAGATTTCAATATGCATTTCGTACAAATGGAAAAACAACGTTTTTTGACGAGATTTTCTTCTTCTTCTCCGCGTTTTCTTACACTTAGGTTTTTTAGTTCAGTATTTTTTTTATTGCATTATGTTTTTTTTCTTTTAGCTAAATACTCGTGTTACACGCACTTACTGAGTGTCTATGTATTGCTTTAGTTATTTCTTTTTATTTACTCTTGTTGTTTTTTTTTTCTGGCTATGTACTAGGCATATAATTAGTATATAATATATATATGTATGTATATATATATTTATATATGTATACGGTATATGTGTGTATATATACTTTTCATACTTTGTTGCTCATTTTTCATTTTGCTTTTTTTTAGCTAGCATATATTTTGAATATCTTTATTGTATAGGTTTGTTTTTTGCATCTCTTACGCTAGTTTATCCTCTTTTCTTTTCTTCTCTATTCTGTTGTTTTTTTTTTTTTTTAGTATTTTAATTCGTTTTATTTCTCTTACAATTTCGTTCAGTTTGCTGGTTTGCTTGGCTTACAAATACATTCTATATAACCTTTAGGTAGATGTATGTATGTATGTTTATATATATGTGTATATATAGATATATATATTTATATATTAGTATGTGTGTTGTGTTTGTTAGTGTGTGTGTGTGTATGTTTGTGTGTGTGTATCTTTTAGCTTGCGCGCATGCTTTGTGCTGCGGTTTTTATTCATTATTTTTTTGTTGTTTTTGCATTTTCTTTTAATCTTAGTATTTAGTTACTTTTTTGCTTTTTGCTTTGTATCGCTGTATGTGTATAACAGTTAACGTTATCTCATTTACAGTTACAGTTACATTTATGTGTGTTTATATAATATATATATGTACATATATATATATATATGTGTGTGTGTGTGTGTGTGTATGTTTTGTTTGTGTGTGTATTTTATATAAATTAATATTTATGCATAATTTATGTCTTTAATTTTCGTTTTGCTGCCCGTTTTGTGCAGCTGCTTTCCATTCTCTACCCCTTCTGCCCCTCCTCCTGTTTACCCCCTCTTTACCCTTGCAATATATAATTGATGTAGTTTGTTCTTTAATAAATTATATGCTAGCTGACTTGACTCTCTCTCGTGTCTGTGTGTGTTTTCTGTTTTATTTGTGCTAAATATTTCAAAATTATATTTATTCTACATTTCGCTGCTTTTTCTGTTTGCCTATTTCTGTCTTTTTATTTAGCAGCTGCTGCTTTGCATTTGTCCCCTACCCTCCCCTCCACTCCCCTCCAACGCTTCCTCTCACCACACTACGAGTTCCCCTCAAGATTTCCATTCGTCACCCACCCCACCTCCCCTCCTCCACTTAATCAGCCTCCTCTCAACCTGTCAGCTTCAGTTGCCCATCTTCACTAATTGCACATTATTAAGTGCTTCAGTTCCACCCACATTTCTGCTACTTTATCCTGTTCTATCAACTGAAAACATAAGCTGCTTATTCTACAGCACCCTCTCTATTTCAGTGTGTGTGTGGTGTGGTGTGTGTGTGGGTGTGTATTGGTGTCCTTGGTGGATTTTCAAACTATGTATCTATAAATTTATTATTGCTTTTGCAGCTGCTGCTGTTTATATAAATTCTATTAATGCTTTGTTGTAGTTGTAGTTGTTGTTGTTGTTATTGTTGCTATTGTTGTTGTAGTTAGTAGCATCAGTATTTGTAGTTTGTTGTTGTTGTAGTTGTTGTTGTTGCTTGCTTGCTTGCTGCATCCTCAAAGTTAACAGGGATAAATGCCTACAAGAAATAGTCGAAGAACATTTTGCATATTTCAAACACATTCGTCTACAATAACTGGGTCTGTGTGTGTGTGTATGAGTGTTTATGTGTGTGCTGACCACTACATGTGTATGTATATATGTATAATATATATTTAAGCTATATATATATATATGCACAACAAGCATACAACAAAAACAAATAATTAATCAATTAAATGACGCAGTTTCTACCACTAAATCAAGAAAAACGAAAACAAAAATTTCAGTTTCGTTTCTTTTTGTGATGTTTTTTTTTGTTTGTTTGTTGTTGTTTCTTTTTGGCTAGTTCTCCTACTGCGCCCCAGAGCAATACAATACAGTGTTTGGGCGGGGGGCGTGGCATTTAACTAATAATTAACGCCTAGAGCGAATATGTGTGTTAAACTAAAAGAAAAGAATAAAAAATAAAATATATCAACTAAATTAAGTTAGCAATTTAAATTAAAGCAAACAATTTGTTGTAGTTGACAACGACAGAGAGTTCTGTGGTGGAGTGCGGGGGGAGAGCAGCATCAGTTGTTTTGTTGTTGTTGTTGTAGTTCTTGTTGTTGTTGTTCTAGTGGCTATTGTTGTTGTTGTTGTTGTTGCATCTGCTTATGATGATAGTTCTTGTTGTGGTGGTGGTTGTTGTTGTTGTTATTGTTGTTGTTCGGGCAGCTCTCAACGTAAAATTGTGGCGACTACGAAAATTTTGTTTGTTGTTGTTGTTCTGGTTGTTGTTGTTGTAGTTTTGGTTTTATTTTAACCTTTTAACGGCATTGGATGGTTGGTTGTTGGTTGTGCAGCAAGAACCGAAAGAAAGAATGAAAGAAAGTAAGAAAACAAAGCGTATACTCAAATAGGTGTTGTGTCAAAATACTACAGCAATAATACGACAAATATATATAGTTTACAGCTAGCTGAGCAAGCGTTCAGTTCAGGACAAATGTGAAATTCACGAGCAGTGTGGAGAGCGAGACAGAGAGAGAGAGGTAGGCAGGCAGTGGAAGCGTGACAGAGTGATATAGTTAGCTCGCCCAACTAAGAGAGAGAGCGAGCGAGCGAGAAAGAGCACTGCACTTTATTTACCTTGATAGTTCTGAGGCCAAATGGTGGGTACATTCTGCAAAGGAAGAAGAAGAAAATATATTTTATTTGAGATGTAAATTTAAATTACAATTTGTACAACACAAGCATTACAAGTATGGCACTGGCTATCAAACTGAAGGGAATATTTCGATTCGTTTGTCTATGTTTCGTATATTCATATTGATTTGGGAAAGTGACTTTCTAAGAGCACTAATCGTTTTAGTGAGAGGTTTACGGAAGTTTTTACTGTGTTTCTGCCTAAAATGCATAACTAATTGTCGATTAGATATCAAATATATATAATAGGCATTAGTATGCAGAGACTATATACCCTTTCAGATGGAAGTAAGCTTGCCAACAATAAATTCAAAAACTGACCAAGAAAACCATTTAATATAGTGATCTGATTTTGATGCCAGCATAATAAGACTCATAATTGGGATAACTTGGTAAACAATAAAATTTCTCATACCGATTGCTCCTAGGTGAGCTATAGGATATAGGTATACGATCTGGTCGTCTTTGACATATATACAAATTGAAACAGACGGACATGGAGTTTATGAGTGATATCTTGACGTTCTTTCAGATCTTGTATTATGGACACAATATATAATTTAGCTCAAAGCCTAATTTACTTAAAGCCTAATTTACTATTTCCCTTAGGCGGCTTATATTGAGGAGTATTGGAATATTATGTTAACTTACCATTGGCACGCTGTAGTACTGATAGAATGGCTGATATTGCATGGCTGAAGGTGGGTAGATGGCTGGCACGCCAGCGGCTGTAAAGTCAGTAACTAGTTTTGGTTAAAATGTCCGGCGTAACATTGTTTGTTGTAGTTATAGATGTTGTAGTTATAGTTGTTGTTGTTGTAGTGTTGTTGAGAAGATATAGAGTAAAAAAATGGAATATAAAAAAGAAAATTATCGTTTTAAAACTGAAAGAACTCGATAAGTGAAACTTAAAGACACTATATATATATATATATAATCGAAATGCATCTCATCTAACGTTAGCTCACCTGGCGGATAGACGGCAGTGGCAAACTGATCCATCGGTATATTGCTCATCGGTGCTGGCGGCGTGGTTGTGTAATAGACAGCTCCATTGGTGGCCACAATCGACTGCAGAGGATTGGGCTGCAGCAGAAGGGGTTGGCTCAATTATTGGACATACATATATAGGTCAATATATTATATTCTCATACCCAACTAACCTGCTTCTTGATAGCCGGCGCAATGTTCAGCTTACGGTCACGCAGCACAACGCACTCGCCCTGAGAGAGACAAATAGGCGTAGACAGAGCGGGGAAGAGATAGAGACAGAGAGAGAGAGAAAGAGAGAGAAAGCAATTTGTAGTGTGGCAAAATGGATTAGAGTTTTTGTGGTAAGAAATAACTTGTTGGGTGTGTGTGTGTGTTGTTTGTGGCATCATCATCAACACAGACAACAGCCAAACGAAATTCAAATTGGAAATTCAAATTCAAATTCAAATCGAACGCAGCAGCATCAAAAAAGTTCTCAAAGATAAAGAAAAAATATATGTGTAAAGAAAATTAAATAAAAGGCGCATCGCTTTTGTCTCTTTGAACTTTAGAACACAAAAATTGACTTGAACTTTTGTGTCAGCTCTTTTTCTTTTTCTTTTCCATTTTCATTTTGATTTTGGTTTTTAATTCTTTTTTTTTTTTTTTTTTTTTTTTTTTTTTTTTTGCTTTCGGGTGGCAGCGGCAGCGGCCCAAAAATGTGGCCAAAAGATTGAAGAAAAACACGTGCCAAGCCAAATATGAAAAATACCATTACCAAAAATTAAGATTATTGTGTGTGTGTGTATTGTATATATAGTTTAAGATAGTATATAGTTTTTAGGCATGTTTTATTATTACAAAATGTCATGTACTGTAACAACTCGTATTGGAATTTGCTTGGTTAAATTATGCAATTTCGAATTTTGGCTTTTTATTTATTTTGTTTTTTGTTTTTTGATTTTTTGATTTTGCTTTTGTTCTTTGCTGCGCGGCACAAATAAATCAAAGGAAACAACATCAACTCATCTTGAAAATAACAAACGTATATAATAATAATAATAATTAAAAGAAAACACATAAAAAATAAAAGCGTTTTTATATAAAATTTAAGCTATCATCAATTCAATTCAATCATCCATTTCAGCCGTCAAACACCCGCAACAATCAATTCAAATAACGAACTAGAATCATAATTGCTTTTAATTAATTAACACCAACACCAAATTTTATAAAATTATTATAATACAGTTAAAAAACATAAGTTACGTGTGTAAAACAGCTCTCAAAAGCTAACCTCAAATACGCCTAGGAATTTATGAATCTGGATTAGTTATAGATTTCTGTTCATACTATTATCGATAGTATTTCAAATCCTGAAATTCACAGTAACAGAAATTAATATTACTAGTGTATATAATGCCACAACGGAACAGGATACTGAAACTTATTCATAAACAGAATCAAAATACGGTCAGAAAGCTATCGGTTCCCACTGATTCAACACACTTAAAATGCTATCGATAACACGTAGCAATTGATTAGTTGCAGTCGATATCATTCAAATGTGGAATACAAGACAAGTTCTCTGAGGTGTTGCCACCTAAATGGAAAGCTATTGAGTGTTCAAAATGCTATGGATAAGAGGAGTTGTTCAGTTGCAGTCGATATCCATTCAATTTCCGGTTCACTGTCCAGGGGACCTGTTGGTAACGCGGGTCGGGTTATCTTTAATTGGCAATTAGGCGCTGATAGCCGCAGCAATTTGCACTTGAAATGCATGAAAAGCCCTCATAATGGGGCAGCCAACAGGCAACCAAGCCCAAGCCCAAACCCATGCCAAACCACCCAACCACGTAGCCTACAAAACCCACTCAAGGAACCGTTGTCGAGTCCTAAGCAAATGTTGCTGCTGTTTTTGCTTCCTTAAAGTTTTTAAACGACTCGAGGCTTTATTTCTTTGCTTCTTCTTATTTTTCAACCGTATCCTTTGACCGCCGCAGGACAAACAGTCGCTCAACAGAATAAAATACGTCAGGCGACACAAGGATAAGTGTCCATAACACAAAAGGCCGAGCCACAGTTATATATATATATACATATATATATATAAAAGAAAGAGTTGCCCCTGCAACAGTCGCCGCTCCTCCCCCTTATCTCGTATGCAGGACGAAGAACGACCCACTTTTGTCTTGGGCGAATTTAATTAAGAACCCTCTTAGTCGGGGCTTCAATGCTGGGCCTCTTTTGTGTGCTTACTCCTCCTCCTCCTCGCCCTCTCTCTTTCTGTGGCTGCCACATGAAAAGGACAACAACAGAGGCAGAGAGAGAGTGCTCTCGGTCCAGTGCCTTAAACATTTATAAAGTGCCCAAGACAAAGGCGAAAGCTGCTCCCTTCTCCGCCCACAATCTCAGGACACTTTCTGGTCAGTTCTCATACATTTGAGATGCGCATTAATAAACGCATTCAAAATTTTCGGGCTTGAATGTAACATTTCAATTGTGGTAACGAAAGCGCTTTGAAGTGATGTCCCCCAAAGGACTTCAAGCGGTTCCCCCAAATGTGCGATGTGTATGAGTGTCTGTGTGTGTGTGTGTTGAGGGTGTGGGTGTGTAATTATGTATACCAATGTGTGGATTTAGTGCGCCATCAAAAACATATACACAAAAGTTAGTAAATGCCAAGGGATGGGTGTGTGTGTGTTTAAGTGGAGGTGTGTTTGTATGTGTGTGTATGGGTGTGAGTGTAAGGGCACTCTGTAATTAACTACAAGGTGTTGTTTGTTGTGGGGCAGAGAGTTCAATCTAATTGGCTACAACAGGCTTCGACTATATTTTGGGGCATTTTGGTAGCTTTAATTCGAACACAAAATGAATTTTTTTGGTTAAGCGAAATTAAATTAGTGCAAGTGAATGCTTCTGTCTGGGTTATTTGTATGTGTGTGTGTGTGATGTGTGTGTGTTGTGTGTGTGTGTGTGTGTCTGAGTGTATGCTAGTATTAAAACCTCGTTAAACGTTGCCACGGCAGCCCCCTATTGTGCATAAAGTACACATTGTTGTTGTTGTTATTATTGTTGTTCTGGTTGTTGCTGCCTGGGGGGAAACCAGCAGGGATAGAGAGTATCTGTTGTTAGAGCATGTAAGCATACAAGGACACACATACAGCAGATGAAACACAAACACAAACACACACACACACACACAGATATGCTGCTCTCCTTGATTGTGCATCACTGAAAATGTGCAAAGCGCTAGCAGCGCAAAAACAATGCACATTTAATGACAAGTGGAAAACTTTTTCACTTAATGTATGTCACACACACACACACACACACACAAAAGAAGACGTACACAGAGAGAGAGAGAGAGTGAGGGTTAGGGAGGGGTTGTAGGAGTGTGAATACACCCGGAGAAAATTGGAATAGAATTGCTCAAGTTTTGTTCTTAACATTCAATCTACAATTCATACTTGTCAAAAAGTTTGTCAAAAAATGGCTCAAAACTTTTAAGTCTTAACTTTGTCCAAACTTAAGTGATTTCGAAATAACCAGTGTTTTTTTTATTCATGATGCGACCTGTAGAATAATACTGCATTCAAAGTTAAAAGGCCAATTGCAAAATTATATTCTCAAGAAGTGCTTCTGCGAAAGTGCTGGAAGGAAGGAAAAGTCCTTTTTGCAGTCACAACTTTGTCTAACCCAGAAAACCAGGGCTTTTTAATTACATTTCTACTACTACATACTACTAGTCGAAATTTCCACAATCAAAACTAAATTGATTCCAGCTCGAAATCCAAATGATAGCTAGACCCTCAAAAACATTTCTTCGAGTGTAGCATCGACAGCTGCGTGTTATGCAACTCACTCTCTAATCGAAATGCGTCAATTTCAAATAAGGTTCCACTCATTTTAAGTCAGCACAGCTGAACCCAGCCCAGAACTTGGCTTTATTTAGGCAAAACACAGCAACAGCTTGGATAACTTGTTTATAGACTAGACGTGGTCGGGTTTCTCGGCTTAGGGAAACTGCCTCGCGTGGGATTGTTCCCAGCAGGCGCGTCCAATGAACTTTTATGGTTGACACTCTTTCCCTTTCTCACTCTCTCTCACTCTCTCTTTCGCTCTGAGTTTGCCCTGCACGGGCTGCATTTGGATGCGAGAAATTATAATTAGGTGAAATCAAAACAAGTTGAAATCGAAATCAAATTCAGATCAAATATATATTTACATAGGTGACAAACAAACAGCAGAAATTATATATATGCAACGAACGCTCTAGGGTCTAGGTCTATATGTATATAAGGTCTACTCTCTATATATAAACAAGACCGAGAGGCGTAGGCAATTTGTAGCTAATTGTTTAATTGATTAATTTGCGCAAAATAGGTAAAAAGAAATAATTGAATGAAAAAAACAATGTATAAATAGAACAAACGGTGCAACGAACTCAACTTCAACTGCAACTCCAACTCGCAACTTGGCAACACAATTCATTTTGCTTGGGTTATCGATAACAAATATGTGTTGTTATCGGACACAACTGTACGGTGAGAACACAAGAAATGAACGGGGACGGACAACCGTCGCTAACGAGCTAACATATGCAAATTTTCGTATACCCTTGCAGAGAATACTATTTTCCTTTTGGACAGAAAGTTATCGATATGGGTAAACAGAATGACGACATTTTGTATGACCAACTTTTGTTTATGAAGATATCTGAACAAAAGCCACAGACTTTTTAACTTTTTATATAACTGTATAAAGTATTTCTTCCACAGGAACAGTCGGACCATAGATAAGATGATCTAGGCGTTAAAATATGTCTGCAAGGGTATTTTTTATAGACTTCGGCACACCGAAGCTAGCTAATCTTTCACGTGTTGTTCTATAACTATGTTAAAGGTGTAGATGTAGTATATATGTTTATGTGTGTGTGTGTGTGTGTGTTGCATATATGAATGTAAATGTAAATGTAACGTAACGCAACGGAAACGTAACTCGGAAACGTAACTCAACAAAAAACGCAATTAGAAGAAAATACAGAAATACATAAGAATTACAAGAGTGCCGTGTGTCCGTACCGTCGTCGATACACAATCGATAAATCATCGATAAATATCGTTGGCATATACGCGCGATCTGTACGATCTGATCTTGGATCTTGATCTTGACTCAAAGTAGGCACACGCTCAGTGGCTGTGGACGGCGGCGGCGTCGCTGTGTGTTGCACAAAACACGCACACACGCACACACACACACACACGCGCACACGCACACACACACGCACAGAGTGTTGTGTGTGTGGGTGGGAGGCAGGAGGAACAGCTGCTGCTTGTACTTAGTGGTATACGTAGTGTGTGTGTGCGTGGTGGTGTCTGTGGGTCAGGTAATGCCCTAAAAGATCGGAGTCACATTATAACAGTTCATACTTATTTTTGTTGTGTGTGTGTGTATGTGTGGAGTGTGTGTGTGGAGTGTGTGTGTGTATGTGTGGAGTGTGTGTTTGTGGTGTGTGTGACTCCTCCCGGTACACAAAAAGCATCAGAAATTGTAAAATCATAATCGATAATTAATCGATAGAAATTAACACAGGCGTCATTAGCAAGATTAGCATATGAACTTTGAACTCACCTCCGCCTGCAGTCTTTGCGCCTCCTGTTCCGTCTCAAATGTGACAAATCCGTAGCCCTTGCTAACCCCAGCACGATCCACAATGATCTTTGTACTCTTCACGGTGCCATAGGCGCTGAACACGCGCGTCAGATCCGCTTCGGTGGTGTCGCCGCTAAAGGATACACGGACCAGTTGAAGATTAATCAAGGATTAAGAAAGAGATCGATGTGGCAAAGAGCTTACCTAATGCCGCCCACAAAGATGCGATTGGGTATGAGTGTGCCATATTTGGGTGCTGCCAGTGGCGCCTCCAGTCCAGCCGTGGGCGCTGTGGCCGCTGTCGGTGCAGCCGAGATTTTGTGCATCTCGGCTGGTGTCGTCTCCAGACGAAAGTTGGCGCCGAAGGGCAGAATCTTGAGGCTGTTCTTTGTTAACGTGGGGCGTGTGAAATAATCCAATAGAAAACGCTGCTTAGCGTTCTTCTCTCTGTCTCTCTCTCAGGCTCTCGCTCTCTCTCTCGCTCTCTTCTGCGCAAGGATCAGTTATGCAGCACGTACATACAACTGGTTTATTTCTTGTTCTATTTGGGTATTTCTTTTTTATGGCTAGAACGTCACGTCCATGTATTATTCTCTTATTGCTTTTTTGTCCCAATTATTGTTCAGCTTCACTTTTATTATATTTTCCGAGTGTTTTGATGAAAGAAATGCTATGTTTGCTAGATCCAAATCTGTAAAGAGAATGAGATAGAAAAACAGAGAGAGAGAGAGAGGGGTGTGAGTTAAATGTCTAGGCAATTGTTATAGAGAGCTGATATAGGTAGAGTACACAGAAGACAGAGCCCGCTGATCTTGTCGTCGTCTGTTTGTGTTTCTCTGACAAAATTGCCCCCCTACATTTCGAAATGCATCTATTTTTGGCACAAGCAGCGCCGACATATGTCACACGAGAGACGGCCCGAGACTGCTCCCGAGAGAGACAGAGAGACATGGAGAGAGAGGGAGAGATAGAGAGCACACATTGCTGAGGTAGCAGCAGCAGCAGCAGCAGAGGCAGCCTCTGCTCGAGAGACTCTAGCGGCGACACATGTGTAAGCTATAAATTCACCTTCAGGCGGCGGCGGCAGCGGCAACAAAATAGCGCAGAGAATTTAAATTTAACAACAGCAGCCAAGCCAAAGCATCAGCAGCAGCAGTAGCAGAAAAACAAAATACACACAAAGTTGACTATCAACAGCGGCGGCGGCGGCAATAATGAAATGGCCAAAATAATGTATCTAGAAGATGCACAGACACATAGATACATAGATACATATACAATATATAGCATATAGCGACATATACATAAATTATACAGAGGCAGAGTTCAATTTGGAGCCCACCTTTAGCATGTTTGCCCAAGCAAATTAGACTATAACTTAAATCTCATTGAGCACAGTGCTCGCTCGTAAAGAAACACTTACAGACATGCTTCGAAATAGTCTATACAAATGTGTATACCACAAGCATTGATTGATCAATAATTATGAAATTCTTATTTTGAGAACCACGGAAACACTTTCAAAATATTATATGGATCTATATAAATAGATATACAATCATTGATGGATAATTGATTACGAAATTCTCATTTTGAGTAAGTTTTGAACTTTAAACTGTTCCATATAAATATATATATATAGTTTGATAGACATTATATTAAAACTTATAACGACGCTATCAACCGAATTCGAGTTCCGGTAAAGATTGTGATATTAATGTTAAAAATAATATCTCTTCCAGTTATTGACAGTTTCGTCAAAAATGTTCTGGTTCCGGGTGAATCGGTTCCCGTTTGATACCATTCGTATGGCAATCATATATCTTATTTATTCTCATATTCGAGTGTGCACTGTACTTGGTAACAGGTAATAATTAAAGCTACCTTCAATACTGTTTGCCCAAGGAAACTGGAGTATCTAAACTCGTATCGAGTGAATATAATACATGTCATACATGCACTATTTACATGTTGTGCACACACACACAACACACACTCGCACACATTGCCCCTGCTCGTACCCCCTCCGCCTTTCCACCGGCTAGCAACAATATTTGTGTGTTGTTTGCTTATCGGCAACTCGTGTATCACATACACCAATAAAAACATAATTATAATTTCATTAACAATCTATAAGTCCAAATTGAGTAGCATTTTCGATATCTATATAAATATATATATATGCATATTATAAGTAGGTGTGTGCTGGTCAGCTCTAATGATTATATCTACACGTGATTATTGCTCACTGTTGTCTTCAATATTTCTGTGCCAACTCTTGTGCTCATAAATCAACGCTAATAAATTACCATGAAACATATATGTAAAAGATAAAAACTAAATATAAATGTGAGATAGATATATGCTACAGATATAGTTATATGCAAACGATTTTTCACTCATTAAATCGCGTCACATTTCCAAAATCATTTCTACACGAAAAACTGTGTATTTTTAGCACGAAAAATATAAAAGCAAATATAAATTGGTTTTTTAGTTTTCCGTTTGTTTTTTTTTGCTTTATTTTTTTGCTGCCGTGACGCTGAAAACATCTCAAGCAGTTCTGTCACACATACATATATATATATATATATATATATATATATATATATATATATATATATATATATATACGCACACCCAACTTGCTTGTTTTTGTTGAAAATTGTGAAAACTAAAAGCTATGCACTGAAAGATTATGCCCAACGGATGTATCCGTGGATGGCCCAAAGTGCCCCTGACATAAATCATGTACAGCTGCTCCTCCTCATCTTCAGCAGCCTCTTCTTCGACCAATTTCAAATTTTGTGTTCTTAATTATTTACATGCGCACTTCATTTGGGCCTGGCCAATACACGAAAAGATACCCAATATATATTTGACTTGGTAGAGAAGTGTCGTTAAATTGTATGAGCAACTGCTGCATTATTAAAGTTCCCATCAGAATTGAGGCCATGAAAATATGACAGAGTCAGCTTTGCGAGCAGCGAGCGGCGACAGAGGTCAACCGGAAAATCACGGCGACATGACAACATTAACGCTATCAGCGGAATTTAATCAACAGCAGCCGCCAACAAGAGAAAATACTCCCACAACTACCACCCCCTCAACTCAGCAACCACCTCCCTCCCCCTTCCCTTTTCATAACAGCCAATTTGCTGTGTGTGTGGCTAGAAGCAACCACTCGACCAAATTGCACAAATTCCACATGCGAAAATTGCACGCGTAATGCCAATGGGAACGAATCACCGAAGAATTTAATAATAACAACTCACATAACACGGGTTTTTCTACGATTTTCCCATACTCAACTATGCGCTACTCTATAATAGAGTGATCGATTACCTGTGACATCGATAAACGATAGCTGATCACAAATGTTGAGCATTGTTTAACCGATTACCTTTGTTAAACATAAATATAGTTTCGATAGTCAGTAATATCCATTATCTATATAATATATATAATAGTAGCCTGCTATGATAAGCATTGTTGATTTAATTTATAAAGCTCTAATTTGCAGAGATTAATATTTTTTCGATTAGAGCATGAAGCAAACGATAGTTTTCTGCTTCAATATATAAGACGAACATAATTTGATTTATAATCTACAGTTGAGAAGCATATTAATCAATAATAAATGAATGTATATATGTTATTGATAACAAATGTCTTGTCGAAGAAACTTCTGACAAGCTACAGTGAGTCATAATTTATTATTGCGAAATGTTCTACTTTCAATTAGCAAATCTTCGGACAAATCCTGTGTGTGCTGATGTACTCATCAAAAATGTATTTCACAACTGCAAATGGACTTGAGACTTATACACACAGACACATAAAGATAGAGAGAGAGAGAGAGAGAGAGAGTGTGTAGAGAGAGAACGAGAGAGAGAGAGATAAAGAGAGAGAGCAATATTTCATGTATTAGCCTTGATGTGAAGACATTTGATTGGCTGCAGGGCAATACCAGATTCCGAATCAGATGCAGCCATGCAACAATTTAACAATTAGCTGCTGTTGCTGCTGCCCCAAAAACAACATTTCAGACATTCCTGTTAACGTTCAACGCTTTTCCCCATTTTTTTCACTTTTTTTTAAATGTTGCTTTTCCTTTCGAGTTTTTATTTTGGCACATTTCAACCGCAACTTGGGCAATTAGTGCAAATGCAATTAGGAAGCGCCAAACTATTGAATAACCAGACGGCAAACAAAGAGAAAGAAAGAGAGGGAGCGAGAGGGAGAGGGTGTGTCGAGCAGTTTAAAGTCGACATTTGACCTATAAAAAAGTAGAAAAGAGAGTGAGAGTGAGAGGGGAAGGTGGAGCGAGTGAAGCCGCCCCAAGGGGACTGTAAATGAAACAGCCCAAACGAGATGCACACACAAAAAGTTGCTAGATAAAAATAGTAAAATGTTCACCTAAGCGCCGTTGGCGTGTCCTTGCCGAAATACAACAAAAATGCTATACAGAAGGAGATAGAGAAAGACAGAAAGAGAGAGAGAGAGCGAGAGAGAGAGTGTGTGTGTGTGTGTGTGTGTGAGGAGGTGTGCAGGAGCTGAAGGTAAAAAACGAAGGCAAGCGATAGTCATAGATAAGAGCAACGAACAGGAAGCAAAACGAAAAGGAAGTCAGCAGCGCCTCGACAGAACAGGAAGGAGAGGGGGAGGGGAGGGGGCAGTTTAGTGGGGCAAGCTTGACGACGAGCTGATAAGCGTATGTAAGTCACACAAGGACAATTAGCCAAAAGCTCAAGAGGTTTAACTCTTCCAAAATCCGAATAGCAAACACACAAGTTCAGCAAATTTGGTTTTTTTTGGCTGCGTGTGCGTGCCGCCGAATAAGTTTGCCAAAAAATACTGGCGCTGCTGGGTGGTGTTGTCTATAAGCCAGGCCAAGAGTTAAGACAGGCGACTGCCTGCAGTGCACTCAGTCAAAGGTCAATTCAAGTTGCGGCCAAAAGCAGACAGCAGCAGCAGCAGCAGCAGCAAAAGCAGCCAAGTCAAGTGTAATGCGAGAAAGCGCAAAAATGGCACACACACACTGACACATATACACACACCAATACACACACACTCTCGCACACAGATGCTCTGACTGACAGCGCGCCGGAAGTGGCTGCCATTTCACCTAACGCGTCCCACACCAGCAACAGCAACAACAACAAAAACGTAACGAAAAAAGGACCTGAAACATGTTACACAATCCTTGAGTGTGTGGATGACGTGATGAAGGAGGGGCGTTGGGGTGGGGGGTGGCACACGAGAACTCGGACGAGGACGAGGACATTGCTGCTGCTGCTTTGGATGTCAGTCAAGTGAAAGGAAATTGTAGCCAACACACACACACACACGCACACACACATACACACATAGAAGGTAGCTGTGGCAGACATACCAACAGACGAACATCATCATCATGATGAGGACGGGTCCCGTTGAGTAGCAGGCGAGGAGACTTTGCCTCAGCAGCAGTGGCAGCAACAAAATTGATGGCCTGCCACGTTGCCAAACCCTGCTGCTCTCTAATGTGTGTGCGTGTGTGTCTGTGTATGTGGCACACAAAAATCCATAATCCTCTGAGCAGCAGCGACCAGCGACAGTAAGACTAAAAACGACAAACTACAAAGCGCGAGCCAGAACAAATATAAAATACTAACAAAGATACACACACACACAGACACATATATTTAT